TCGGCAACTCCCGACCCCTCCCCCTCAAACCCCTCCCCAAACTCCCCCCCCGCAAGCACCGCCCGGCGGTCCTGCTCCCCCCCCGTTCCCGAAGAATCCAGGCCTGCCTCCGACTGGTCCGTCTCCGCCGCCTATGCCCGGGCCAGGAACAGGGCCTGGGACTGCCTGAGCAACTGAGCACAAGCCTTTATTAGTACAAGCTTTATTCGTGATTCTTTGAGTGCAGTATGTAGTCGAGGAACGGCCTTTTTGAGAACCTTCTAATGGAGTTTCGTGAGTTTTATAAGAGAGTTTAGTGACCCGTTCTTATGCAGAATCAGGAGATTGATTGTACGGTAAATCAAAAGCGCTTTCAACCTTAACGCGATACGCTCTTGACTTTGTAGGCGGAGTCTTTGAGCAACCAGTGGCACGGGTGTATGCTTTGCGCTGAAACACATGCAGCGTTGATTTTGATCGAGTTCCTTACATGTTTGATGCAACGGTTCATCGTTCAATATGGCCGACTTGAAGTTACGGTGCAGTAAATCCATGCACGCTGATCCCCGTGTCCCGTGCCCATCACTTGACATGCCACGATTCTACTGCATCATACCATTGTGTATTTGCATCACGGCGGCCTGCCCACGTTGGGAGAGAATCCGATCCTGGTTCCGTTCTAATCAATTACAGATCCGCTATATCTGCCACGGCGCCTGTAAGCTTCCCCCTCATGGTTGCATGAATGATTCAAAGGCCACACACTCATAGCTCTAAATGCTCGTGTCATGCACATCATGCCAACTTGTGCTAAGTGTGTCCATAATAGTCGACGTCAAGCTACATGAATAGCGCTAAACCGGTGGTTACTCGCAAGATTCTTTCAGCATCACATGCGCCGCGGTGCCTTCAAAGGAGAATACGTTTCTCTTGAAAAAGGCTCTTGTTAGATGTACAGGCGATCGGATGCAGATCAGGTGACCCAATTTACGCGTGATCGACGCAGTTGCACCTTACTGTAGGTCTTTTTAAGCAGCTGCTGTAGAGGCCGGCGGCCTAGCACCGCCGAATTACAATACTTGGACGTATTACTACGATTGGTCGATCCTTCGAAAACCCGTTTGATTCTCAGATGCTGCCAGGTGCAGTGGTCTTAAAACACATAACATAAGATAAATACCGCAAACTTGGCGATGACCAGCCTCAGCTCATGTTAGCTAATGCATGCCGAGTAGACGGGCACAGGGATGTACGAGCAAAAGAAGACGGTAAATTGAGAGCTGTTAATTAATTCTCTGAAAACCCACCGAGAGTTCATCCACTCTGTCACTTGTGGCTTAATACAAGCTATCAAGGCGCAGTCAGAATGTCAGGGGCACACATTCCATCATTCTAGCAACTACAGAAGCGGTCACCATGTTTCGAAGTCCTGTTGTTTTGTACTGGGACGTATCCCCGTATGCTCAAGGCTCCGGCAGAATCTTCGAAGCGGTCGAAGAACGCATCCACTCAGAATGAACTTCGAGATGCACAACAACGCCATCAGGGCAGGAGCTCTGCTTCGTGCATCACTTCAACAAACCCAACTCGTCGGCCCAAAGGTGAGCCGATGTATCTACCGTATCTTGACAAGCAGCCATGCTTATTAAAGATACAGTCAAAGCACACGCAAAGAGTTTGCAATAGATTGACTCACTGAATGAGTATCCGGATTCTTGCTGTGATCCTGACAATGGCCAGTCAACTCCACAGGAAGGCGCCTCTCAATCAGATCACAGCGGTGCACAAATGCACGGTGAGCAAACTTCCTCTGCTGTCAATCTAGCAACGCTGATCTCGCTCTCAGAATGTTTTTCACCTCTGCAATTTGACCACTCCCAACTCATGACCTCATTTTCCTTTATTTATGTCAAAATTACTGCCTTCTGGCATGCAGATTCTGGTCCAGTCATATCACCTGCAGATGCTCAATTCAAGGAACATACGTCCTGGTCGCCATTCAATCGCAAGCATCTGGAGCCCGTGGATGAGAATCAAGGAGGAAGACCATCACAGTTTGTCAGCGACGCTGCTTGGGCGAGGTAAGTCGCATGGTATCTTTGTTTGGAAGCTCTCTCAAATAGGATACATCCATTGATTCCACACAGCAATCCCTAACCTAGATCCCAGTACTGCATGCTCTGGTACCTAAAGATATCAAGCAGAAGACGACTCTTCTTTTTACAGGTTAGGGCCAGAATTTCGCCGACTGAGCATACCTGAGGCTGGAGCGGTGGATGCAGCTTGGTTGCCGAGGGAGTCTCTGAGTGCTAACCTCGATAGGTGACCATGGAAAAGTGCAGATTGGATGAGTAGAACTGCAGCGTCATAGAAAAAGCTGCTTCATTCCAGCAGCTTCATTTTCAGAAACTTGACATGATCATCCTGTCGACTTGAGTGGGGCGGTGCATGCTTCGCTTGGTAATTTTCCAACTGAGATGAAAGGTTTTGCAGGACGTCAATCGATGGAACATCACACGCGCACAAAGGTGGCCCTCATGGGCAGGGCTTTCCTCTGCAAAGAATCTTGTCAGGCGTGCCTTATGATGGCAGTGAAAACCACGACGAAGAGGGAGCAACATTCCAAACGGAAGATGACGCATTTAGGAGGGTAAGAAGCAAACACTGAAGACTGGCAAACGACTCTGATTCAATGGACTAGGATTGATTCCTTATTTGCAACATATCGGCATGCTCGTGCCCCCAGAACTTCATAGATACACCTCCAAGCCGTATTTATTCAGCTGCAGTTTCAATTCAAGGTCTGCCTCTGGTCAACCTTCCTGACAATCCTCCGGAATGCTCGCAGTCCGCATTTGCAACGGCTGTTACCACGGAGAGACAGCTAAGACCGAGACCTCCACCGCGGCCAAAGCCAGAGCATCCAGCCTCAATCAAAGCTCGGCATGTGGAGAAGAAGCAGAAGGCTGGCGCAGACCATTGCAAGAGGTCTCAGTCAAAGGGTCATGTGGCTGTGTCAAAAAACATGCTGGACGAAGAAAGTGTTGCCGTTGTCCTGCCCAGCCATCAGATTGTCGGGGCAACCGCAGAGATCACGACAGTCGAGAAACCCCTTGAAAAGAAAAGAACAAGGCAACCAGCAAACTCCGCGTCTACACGTATGCCACAAAGTCCCAAGTTAAAGGCAAAACAATCAGCGAAGCCGATCCAATCAGGAGAAAGCACGGATGGAACCTCGAAGAGCAACAAAACATGTACCAAGGCTTCGCGGAAAGGAGGGATGCCGAAAAGCCCGCCAGAATTCAAAACGCCCCGTTTGCAGAAGGAAAAGGCGGCGAAAGGCCGTAGAGATCCCTCAAAAAAGCGCAAGCGCGCTACAGGCGATCGTGCTGTCTCGGATTCCGAAGTCGGAGAAAATGGTCGGACACGAAGCAAATCAAAGAAGATGCGAAATGAAGACGTCAAGAAAACTGCCTTCAAAGGCGGTGGCAAGGTGCTTTCCAGGTAAGCTGCAATGCCTCCAAAATAGAGGTTCATTCAAGGAAACAATTTCTTCCAAGTCCGAATTCCGACCCATTACGGAAGTGGAATAATTTATGTGGACCCCAAATTTGAACTGTTGCAAGCCGTTGATGCGTGCCTGTCAGCTTGTCTGACAAGCAAGTCCAAAAGTGGCGCTTCGAACAACTTTTGAACCCTCTTCTCAGGATGGAAGCTTTGGCGAGCATCGAATCTGGGACCTGGAGAAGACGGTGTGAGGAACAGCAGCTTGAGGTACGTTGTAATCTGCAGACCAACTCCAGCAGACCATACGATATATCATGGTGAGACTGATAGATCACAAACTAACCAAGTCTTGACAGCAACGATTCGCTGGCCCCAACTTCCTATATTGGGCACGCTCCTTTGTGAACAAATGCACCTACACAGCCCAGTCTTCATCCTTCTGCAATTCTGACAGATCAGCCGTGCTTTGCAGCTCGTCAAGAAAGAGGACCCTAGGAAAGCGGAACGGATGCTTGCAAACCGACGAGTAAGTTAGTTGGCATAAGCACGCGCGTCTCGTTGTCAGAGTTCTTCTTTCGAAGGATCTCTTCCTTTGAGGTCGATCCACTTAGAAGATCGCCATGCACTTCATTGACTTGCTCTCACTGCCTTGGAATTATCATTGCTGCGCATGTCCGATAGGGGATACTTGTGTGCAGTCCGCCGAGCGCTCTCGTCTCAGACGGCTCGAGCGTATTGCCACTCTGGAAGGAGAGGTAAGACGCTTTCTTTTGATGCGTTTCTGGCTCTCGTCCTACTGATGAAGGAGGCCACTCAAAGAATCTGCTTGTCTACTTCACTAGCACTGTGTACAGGAATCCTACCGCTATCTTATTGTGGGAGCTTCCGCATAGGTCTTGAAAACAACTCTATCCTGAAATCTAATTGATTGTTATGTTGAAGGTCGACGAATTGGTAGCAGAAAGAGAGTCCTACAAGAAGAGACTCACAAGCACACAGGTAAATTCGGCCTTACAACCTGTTTTGATTGAGCAGGAGATTGTAACTGCTTGTGCAAAAACTTGCGGTTTGAGATGAGGTTCAAGCAGTGTGGTTATGTACTTGGGAAGCAGTTGGACGCTGTCCATTAACGGAATCATGATCTACATAGAGTTTTGGAGCAACCGACGCCACTAAGCTCTTTCCCGTTTTGCACAGAGCTTGTACAAGAAAAGTCTGGAGGAGATTGAGAGGCTGAAGCTGGAGAAGCGCAGTAAGTCCGGTGCACGAGGTAGCAAAAAGAATGACGTACAAGCGCTAGAAGAAGCGCTTGCGGCAAAGAATGTCCAGCTCGAAAGAAAAGACCAAGAGCTGAGATCGAAAGAGCGGAGGCTCGAAAAGATGGAAGAAGAACGACAAAACAGGGAAGATGAACTCCAGAGGAAAAGTGAGGAGCAGCAAAGCAAAGACCGTCTCATAGAGGTAAGGCTAGAACGGAGATATAATTTTAAACGGACAAAGTGAGAACAAGTCAATGCGTGTATCCGATTATCGGTGCGACCATCCTTTTGCTGCTGTCGGAAAATAAGTGCCTCGCAACTTTAGGAGACTAAAACATTCGCGCAGAACAATCAGCTAATCAACAGCACGAAGACACGTTTTTCTCCTCCAGGTGTCCTGCTCCTGTCAACGATTTTGAAGCTTTTGATTCTTTGTCATGCAGTGCTTCCACGCCGTACTGATGCAACAACAGCTGGCGGCTTCGAGTTACGTGCATTCCATGACCGGCGCTCCCTTTGGTCCTGCGCACCAGATGGCGCTACCGCCGTCCATGCTGACCCTGCCAGGCGGCTCCGGCGGCGGGCTCATGCCGATTGCTATCCCTCCGACACCGGCCGAGTTTCCCTTGATCATCACAGACCCAGGCCCCGGTCTCATTTACGCCACAGCCGGCCCCGCAGCTGGTTTCGGTCAGGTAGAGGGTTCACAGAATGCCAGGGGCCAATCGCTAGATCCGCTTGTCCCGACCTTGAGAGCTGTGGATAGCGAAGAAAATGATGCTGGATCATAAAGTTGAGTCAACAAGGCAGAATGGCTGTTGTTTTGCCATCGAATAGGACCGTTACATAGAGCCTTCAGTACGTCGGGCTTGTGGTCAAACTTCAGTGAACATAGAAGGCATCTATGCAGAGCGCATGAAGTAACTCCATGTTAAGCAGACCCCAACGTACATAGTAGTCTTCTAAGGTGCATTTAACGAAGTGCATGTGGTTATATTGATTCTGTAGGTGAGCACTGGAATGAGCCTTCAAATTTGCACAAAGCATTTCGAACTTGCAGTCCTTTTGCCGCTCACTGTCAGTTTCAGGCTTGCGGCAATGATGATTACAATCGAAGTCCTCTTTCCATTCTGCGTCGGTGTTGAGAACGTGTCGTACAGAGGTTCTCCGGATACTTGCGGACTCAGCGCACTGTTTATAACGACCGCGCAACGATATGAACTTATGTTCAAATCGCTGTGGGATGTTTTGCATGCCGCCAATCTCACAGTTGAACGTATGCAAGATTTACGATTCCACGATCGAGGTTTACAACCTTCTGAAATCTCTCGCATCGCAACTTCCAGCTAGGCATATGCAGTCAACGTACATTGAAAAGCGAGGCAAGGCTGCAGCCTGTGCCGCGCTCCAATACGCCTGCATGCCTTAGCGGCCAACTGCCGTTGCATGAGTCATGGGCGGCATATCTGAATTCACGTACGTGACTTATTACTTCGAGATAGGTCGCAGACCGGACACATTCAGATTGATCAGGACATGCACCGTCGCTTCTACAGATCGAAGCGCGCCGGCCCCACTCTTATGCTATACGCCTCGGAAACATTGACCCGCCCGCCACGAGTCAATCTGCGCAGACCATGCACGTGACAAACCCCTTACACACGTTCCCTGGCACGATGATCGCTTACTAGCCCCTTCTCGGTGGCTCGAGAGTGGCGGCCATTCAAAGAGGATGTGCAGTGCCAGTGCCACGAATACAATCGGCAGTCTCATAATACCCCGCATGCATGACTGCATACGCGGTTGTCCAAGAATGTGAGCGCAACGATCATGAGACCCAATTGTACCCCGTTACCTGCACGGTCCATCACAATCTGATTCCACTTACTCTTATTGTTCATTCTCGGCTGTGGAAATTTTCCGCTTCTTCTTCCTTTGTTGCTGCTTTTCTTCTATCGCCCCTGCCCGCCCCTTCGCCAGCTTTTGCCGGATGCCGAGCACCTTCTGCACTGCGTCTCCGAAGGGCGCTTGTGACTTCGCCGCCAGCATCCGTTGCACGTGCCCCAGCGCAGCAAGGTTGAATCCCAGAGCGCTCTTCAGCCCCTGAACCCTAGGGCGCAGCTCGTTCTGTACCGTGAGAAGAGTCGGCCGGGCTGACGTGGTGGCGACCAGCTGCGATTGGTGCAGCCTCAGCAGCAGAATAGCTGCCCGGCAAGAGAGTTCTATCTGGTCGCCCGCCCTGAGCCACTGGGCGATGTAGTCTAACAGGTGAAGGGCGGAAGAGAAGGGCAGGACGAGCAGGGCTTGTTCCAGATCGCTGGTCCGGACGGCCGCGACGGCCTTCAGAACAAACGCCGCGGGAGAGAGGCCCAGCATGAGCGGGTTCGGGGGCAGTGGCTTCGCCTTCGGATCACGCTGCCGCTCCATCTGCGAAGAGACAATCGAAGGACTACATTGAGAGCCAGACGAGAACCGGTTCGTCCCCCTTGGAGTCGAAATGCAAGGGTTTTCGTACGCTTGCGAGGGATGCAAAGCAGCACTATCCTCCTGAAGTTCCTGGTCACTTTCCTCACACGAGAAGCCCTGCCCGTTCAAAACAAAACTGAGATCCGGAACCGCACCTGCGTACGACAGGGGCCTCGCGGGGCTACTTCCTGTGATCCTCAAGACCCTAACGGTAAGCCACCAAAAAACCTTACAATATCTCTTTCGCGCGGCGGGCACTCCTCACCCGGTGGTCAAGCACCCGCTGCGTCTCGAGCTCCGCCATCTCGAGCGCCTCGATAATCGAGTCCGCTGCGGAAATGGTTTCCTGGGTGCGCCGCCCCGCCGCGCCCACGGCCCCTTCCGCGTTGTCGTCCCCCGGTTGGCCCCCCCGGTCGTCGGCCGCGTTTTCAATGCCCGCCTCGAACATGCTCTCCAGCCGCTTCTCCCGCTCCTCCTCCACGAAGAAGGGCTCCTCCGTGCGCTCCCACCGGCGCAGCGACCGATCGTGCGAGCCGGTCACCACGAAATCGCCGTGGCTGCTCACCGCCAGGCACCAAACCTGCGGAGGGCGGAAAGCAAAGCACAAGCGTCACGTTGTAGGAACGAAGGAAGGATGCACTCTGAACCAGTGCACCTGAAGAGAGCAGGAGGCTGCGCGACACGACATTAAGCTGATTCAGGCGAGGGGGACAGAACTACCTGAGGGCTAGGTACTTGACGATGTTGACACGTGGTGTCGTTCGAAGAACTGTCAAGCGGAAACTTTGTGATGGTTGGTAGCTCATAGTAGCATCGAGGTCAATGTCATCAGACGCGGTCACCTGCACCATGTCTTCCAAGCAGCACAGCTTGCTTGGTCAAGGGAAGAGCCATGCGACTCTTGATCTAAGCAGCAAATGCGCAGCGTGACAAACCAGTTTTGTAACAAGTTGCGCGGGGGCTAGTCTGCAAACTTGGCATGAGGAGGGGTCGCGTCGCACCTCGGCGTGGTGCCCGTCCAGCGTGAGCAGCAGCTCGAACTTGTCGACGTCCCAGTACTTGACGCTCTTGTCCTTGCCCACCGTGAACAGGTAGTGCGTGTTGCGCACAAACGCCACCTGCACTCCCGCAAAGGCGCGTCTCGATACCGCCCTCTTCGCAACCTCTAACAACGGGCGCGGCAATCGTGAATCAAACGAGCTTCGAAGCACAGGAGTCTGCGCGCCAGCTCTTCTGTTGCACGCAGATGTAACAAGTAGTACATTCAAACGCTTTCCACGGCAGGTTTGAATAAACCCTTGCGAGGTTCTCCTTCTGACGTCATGCTTGCGCAATACAGGGTCCCCGCGGGGTGACGTCGTGCGCGCACCTGCATGACGCTGTCCTGGTGCGCGAAGAGCGAGCGGTGGCAGTCGCCGAAGTCCATTCCCCAGATCTTGAGGTTCTTGTCCGCGGACCCGCTGGCCAGCAGCGCGCCGTCCGACGAGATGTCCAGCGACAGCACCGGCAGCTTGTGCCCGTACAGCGACAGAAAGAACTTGAGCGTGTCCGCGAAGAACACCTGCGGAAGGGACACGAGGTGTTCGAGCGTAACTCTTTTCCCACAGTGAGTCGACAGTATAGGCCTTGTGACCGCAAAAAGAGCCGTGCTTGAAGAAGCGAGGGGGATCCTTCCGTACCTGAACGATTCGTACGGAGAAGAAACACGCAGGTGGCACCTTGTTGGAAACCGGGTGCAACAATCACTTGTTTCTGATGAACGTCAAATGAAGAAACAGTGACCAAAGCTGGGTGGCGTTTCTGATGTTGACTGCGTTCGGAAACAACTGAAAGCGTCAAAGACGTCGGATATTCCAATTCAAAAGCCAGACATTACAGCGACGTTCGTCACGAGCACGTTGCCTCGAGAAGAACACCAACATGCTGCTCTACAGCTACATTGTGAAAAAAGAGCGGCAAAGAAATACGACTGCTTTCCCACCCCCGCCCAGCACTGACCTTGATGGTGGAGTCCAGCAGTGCGACCGCGATGTACTTGCCGTCCGGGCTGAAGCGCACGCACAGCACGTCGTCCGTCATCTTGAGCGTGCGCGTGTTGCGCACCGCCAGCTGCTGCGCCGCGTCGCCGTCCTCTCGCACCACCTCGTACTCCCAGAACTGCGCACAGCAGCGCGGCCGCGTCAGCAGGGCCAACACCGGAATGTGGGCCTTTGTGACTCAACATATTGCAAGACAGAACAGACATCGGCTCGAGAATACTTTCCGCTAAGTCTCGTACTATCTACTGTCCCTACCAACAAGTATCATGCACATCCTTTGTGGCTTCCCAATCATAGAGCACCAAATTAAATATAGACTCTGATGGGGTCTCAAGCGGATGGTCTCAGGAGCTATCAGAGGAGACCCGTTCTGCTGCTGCCTGTCATCAAGCCCTCTGCCTCATTCCCTTCAGTCTCGCAGCTCAAGATCCAACGAGGGGGAAAAGGCTGCTTGTCTGCTGAACCCAAAGCAGAACGAATAAGTTCCTCTTGATCCGCTCACCTTGACGTCATGGTCCGCCGAGGCACTCGCGAAGCCGGTCCCCTTGGGGTCCGCCGCAATGGACCAAACCGCCCCTGTGTGAGCCTCCACCGACTCAATCAGGCTGGATCCCCCCACATCAAACAGCTCCAGCGCGCCACCCTTGGTTCCTACGACCGCCTGCCGGTTGCCCGGCACGAACAGCGCGGACAGCCCGTACCCGGAGTCCATTGTCCGCAGGCATGTGCCGGTGCGGGGGTTCCAGACCTGAATGCAATGAAGGCAGCGAGGAATCAGGAAATAAATAGAGAAAGACGGATTTGAAGTACCTTCGGGCAAGCGCCTTCCATCGGATCCATTACAGTGCGCGAATAGGCAGCGAGCTCATGTTGCCTAAGGTGCGAGCCAACAAGTTCTGGGCCTGCGGTTCACAAGCACATCTGAAGGCAAAATGACTACAACTCCGGTTCGCTGAAGACTGTCTACAAATGGAAACGCAAACGGATAGGAGTGAAGTTAAGGCGCCGCTTCTGCTGATGCCGAGATCAGTTTGTCCCACTGACCTTGACGGCGTTGTGGCTGGTGGAGAGGAGGAGGGAGTCGTCAGAGCTGAGCGCCACAGCGCGCACGTCGCTGCGGTGGCCCGGCAGCTCCAGGCCGTACGTCCTCTCGTAGCTGTCAGCAGTGACGTCATACACCTGCAGCAGGGCCCGCTCGATATTCTCAAGCCCAGCTAAAATGTTAAAGCCGCAGAACAGAAATATTTTCGTTGGCAATGCCACTATCTCCATTTGGAATATCCATGTCCTCTCGTTTTCGCCTCCAACAATCGCTGCCATTCAGTAGCAAGAACTGAGCAACGATTCGGGGGAAGACTTCGGAATTTCACGATTGTCGCTGAACGAAAGCGCCGAAGGATCTGGAAGGATTCTGCAAACAGCCCTAGAAATTTCAATTATCGTTCACTCGCACTGAACTACTTCAGTTATAGTTCACTTTGAGATTTCACGCTGACTATGCAATCAGGCTGACGAGCCTGATAAAACACATTTGCTGTGCAAGCGACTGAGAAGGTAACCGGCCCCTCCTTGTCGGTGGTCAGGAGCGATTCAATCAACCGGGCATTTTCGCTTTTTTGTCCTACACGCGATCAGGATTGGCATTGCCATCTTACTGATTGACAGGTGCCAGCGGAACTTGTCATAGACGCCGTACCTCAATGCTGTTGTTGTGTAGCGAGAGGGCCAGCTGGGCCTCGACGCCCTTCTTGAGCGCTCCAGGAGAGAAGGCAAACGAGCGGATCTTGTGCTTGCTGCGCACCACCTGCAGAGAGAAAAGGTCGGAGGTTCTCCTCCAAGGTCCGAAAAAGAGAGACGCAATAAGACTATCCACAAAGCGCCATATCAGTCAAACAAGCTGCTGCAGAAGGGGCTAGCCGCAGCATGAGCCTGCCTGCGGCCATTTGAGATCGTCAATGGCAACGCAATCCGGTGAAATTTAACAGATCCCCTCAGTCGAATACTGCTCCAAGACATCATGCGGTGCTGCTCATGCGACAACCACAACGCTCGTCGAGGATCCAGCCTCGTAATCGTGGACAAGCTCCATGCTGCAGCAAAGCTTCGACAGCTGTTCCTGATGCGTCACCTGGCGGCCTGACACTAACATCAGATGCTGCCGGGACCTCTTGCAGGATTGCCAAAAGTTGCAAATCTTAGAGTCGACGAAAGCTTTAGCATGGCGCCCGCTTCTGCTGACCTGCATAAGGGACAGCTCGTCTGCTGCCGCAACGGAGGCGTCCTCCTGCGCCTCCTCAGCAGCTTCTTCTCCCTCCCCCGGGGGGCCCTTCGCCGCCTTGTCCTTCATCTTCTCCTGCTTGCGCTTCTTCCGCCGCTTGGCGCGCCGAGCAGCCTCTGCGGCGTCGCGCACCCTGCACTCGTGATCGAAAGGTTTCAGGATTCATGCCAGCGAAACAGCTGTACTGGATATGTTTTTTTTGGTCCACGTCCTGTGCTTGGTATGAATTTCGTTTGTCGACGTCCTGGAAGAGTCTCAAGAACGTTTTAAGACACCTACCAACCCTCCTCGTTTCAGCGCTGCCACCCTCTCATAAGACTGTTGGGAAGGACAATAGCCACAAGTCACTCTCTCGCCCCAAACTCGCACTCACACAGGCTTCTCACGAACTTCACCACTGTCAAGTCAGTTGGCAGACTCACACACATCAAACAGCATCCTTTTGAACAATAAACTCAAGTGAGCCCAATAATTTCATAATCCGGTGCACCAGACCTTCTCCAGCCTGCCTTATCTGTACCCGCCCTCACCTGTAGAGCTCGAGAGCCTTCCCTGGACCCTGGCATCCCAGAAGTGTGCCGCTCGGGTTGAAGCGCAGAGTGGCCACCCGCTCAGTACTCTGCCGCCGGATGCTTCCCAGGGGGGTCAGAAGGTCCCAGCTGGCGCCCCCTCCTGCAGAGGGCTCCCTTCCCGAAGTTTCCGCTTCGTCAGCGATGGCATACCAGCGGATCTCGACATCGGCACTCCCAGTGGCCAGGCGCTGCTCCGAGGGGTCGACGTCCAGGGACCACACCTGAAAAAGAAACGTAGAGCGATTGGACTCATTTGTTGCTCGGCAGGAGTTATGCGCTTGATAAGTTGACTGAGGTTGTCGTACGTACTGTATCTGGCATAGCACTGAGTTGGACAGACATTTAGTGTGGCACGCGAAGGCTGGGCTCGGATCTGACACCATCTGCAATCTGGTAGAAAGCTTCATGGAAAACTAGTCGAACCTCAAGGAATTGTGAAGGCAAGTTTAGAACAGTGAGGACAACAAGGAAAAGCTCGAAGACACAAACGGAGGCAATCTGGCTCACCTCCCCCCTGTGCCCGACCACTGTCTGCGTGCAGTGCTGAGTATCCAGATCCCACACCCGGACAAAGGTGTCTTTGGAGCAGCTAACGAGCTTGCGACGGCTTTCTAAGAACACCTGCACAGGAAGCGAACCCAGTCACACCTGCCGCCAACGAGGTTTAGCATAGACTGCGAAGCTGGCAAGGAGTCACGCTGCCTTCAGGGGCCCAGCAAAGGGCAAATTGCAGGACCTTAAGGCCCTCGCTACGAATGACTGATAATTGGAGCAGACAAGTGCATGAGTCATCAAGAGCAACAGATTCCGGGCACTCAGGCACAGCCCGAAGGTTAGATGTAAAAAACCAGAGGTAAACCAATCTGTGTACCACTGCAAAGTCAAAGTACCAGGATTTCTTCTTTGTATCTTTAACGTGGCCCAAGACCGATTAACGTGGCCCAAGACCGACATTGAACCACATTGGAAAGTCGTAAGCTCGATTGTGAGAAGTGTATATCAATGAGACGCAAGGGGATAGAATGGAGAATAACAAAGATGTTTTCAGCTTTGGAGCGCAGACAAAGTATCTGAGATCAGAGCCCGTTCCGTTTTCAGTGAGGGGCCAAAGAAAAGTACGTGATCCTCACTAGGCTGCCACCAAAGATAGTTTCCCTCAAGAAACTTGCCCAGGTGGACACAGCATGAAAGTGTTCTTATGCAGAAGCTCATGGCAGTTTACTGCGCGTCCAAGCAGGGATGTACCAGGTCTGTGACTTGATCGCGGTGGCCTTTGAGGCGGTACAGCCCTGCTTCTCCCACCACATCCCAGACTATGACATCTGTGTCTTTCGCCCCTGACGCCAGAAGGGCCCCGCTCTTGCTGTACCGCAGGGCAGTCACTGCGGACTTGTGCCCGCTCAGGACCACCTCACAGGTGCCCTTGACAAAATCCCATATTCGTATCTGCAGAGGAATTAGTTGCTGTCTTTCTAGAGCCAAGGCAGAGAAAGCTGTTGCACAAGCATAGAAAGTAGTTTGCGAAAGGTGGTGGCACCAGGCACCAGTTATTGATGTGCTGCTGACGCTGATGCAGTGGTATGATGCGTTATGCGCAGATATATGCAGAGGGAGTAGTGCGCTCGTTTTCAAGAAACCTCACCGATCCATCAGAATAGCCCACCGATATTCTGGACACCTCAGTGGGAGCGAAAGCGATTGCAGTGACCTCTGGGTGGGGCCCGCTGTCATGTGACGTGCCTGGTGCAGCTAAGGTCTGGATCTGAAAGATACAAACATAGATGAAAATGGTTAGTACACACCACTCAAAGCCTTTGAGAAGCCTCTGCACCTGCCGGCAATTGATGTTCAATTGGACCGCTTCACTCAAATTCGTCAGGTCAATTGCTTACCACTGTGATTCGACGTTAGTTGTAATTTAGATGCTGGTTAAGAAGAAAAATGTCCATATCTCTTGATAGGAAGGGTTACTAAAGATTGAAATATCAAAGTTCGGGTATTGGTGCAAAGAACTTACTGCGGCTCCTTGTTTGAGATTCCACACAAGCACGTTTTCCAGGGCTGCAGATACTAGGAGCTTGCCCGAAGCGTCGAACGCAACATTGGCTGCTGTTGATGCCACCACCCCAAAGGTAGCGGCAGCCTCATACCGCAAGTATGCCTTCACCATTGCCTCTGCTTTCTCCCTCTGTCAAAAATTACAAATGTCCGCGTAAGGACTGCACAAGCCACACCATCACCTGAAAACCAATCACCACCAATGACCAACAAGCCCGTGTATCCTAGGTACAGGCCAGGCCACACCACCACCCATCAAGAATCTGGACAGGCCAAAGTACCACCAATGCCATGACCACGGGATGACCACCTGGAGGCTGGCACCAGCTCGTCTCCACTTCAAACTTATTCAATGAGCTGCCAGCTTTGAACGTACAGCTTTGCCTAGTAAAATTGGCACTTCTCCCGCTACTCTCGTTGTCAATGGAGCCTCTACACCGTTCGATCCGAAAAGGGGTCAATGGACGGCTCGCAGTCCGTGCATCCGTGGGCCGCTGGCTCAAGGTAGGTACGTACTGTAACGGTACCCTGTTCTCGGTACAGGTATACCGTCGGAAGCAGAGATGTGTGCTGCTCAGAAGTCGTAGGTACCCGGCATGCTTTGTCGATACCTGTCGGCCATCGACGGCAAAGGCTTCACATTGGAACCATATCAAGGGCGCCTGCTGAGCATCTGACAAGGTGAAAGCTGGGTTCTGGAAGGGAGAGGTATAGCGTATTGGTCGAACGAAGCACTCAACACTCGAGACTCGAGAGCCTAATATTCAAGTCGTTGAGAGCCCATGACTCTGACGTCTAGTAGTAGTAGTACCTACCTAGGTAGTAGGATAAAGGAAAGTGGACTTCAAAGCATGCAGCAAGGTTCTCTTCGGGCGCTGCTGTGGATTTCTGTCGTGCGAGGGCAGTAATAGGAGTCAAGACAAAGCGAGTTGCATTACCAAGATTGTTCACCAGCATCGGCCTCTTGAGTGATGCGCAGAGATGTCTGTAACCATGGCTATGCAGGCTGTACCTTTTCCACATAGTTCAACACATTTTCCCTTTGGCGGACCGTCGTTTCAGATTCTTCCGGCCTCGCTGCCGGCCTCCTCCCAACATGCCCAACAACCAAATAGGGATGCCTCCAAGCAGACAGATGCTACAGGCCAGGGTCCGAGAGAGCAAGCACCTGTTCCTCAACCGCTGCCATGGAAGGGGAAGAGGCCCGGCAGCACAGCCATGGGCAGGCCACCCCTGGCAGCACCGCCGCAGCATGCGAAGAAGCAGAGCAATTGGTCAGGGTGGAAGGCAAAGAGGAGGCGGCTAGATGCGTCTGGACAGCAGGGAGGGCCTTTCAAAGCAGCAGTGAGTGCAGCAGACTTTCAGCAGAGGGGCAGACCTGTCGCATCCGGCCCTACACCAGGTGCTCCACAGTATTACAGGCAATGGTCTGTTCGTTCTGACAGGGCGCCAGCACAGATGGCAGCTGTCCAACCAGGCCAGAGAGTGGCGAGTGATATTGACCCCCCGCGACTTGTAGACCTGGCCAAGAAGAACAAGCAGAGAGCCAGGCGGTACTACAAGAAGAGCAGCAGGAATCGAAACAAAGCCTCCCATGAAGGAATGCCGGATGCTCCCAGGAACACCAATTCATTCCTCATGCGGTCGCGGCTCAGAGGCCCCGTGACAGTAGACTCGCCTGTTGCTCCTGCAGTTTTGCAAGTCCCTCCTATGCCCTCTGAGGACTGGCCTCAAGAGAGGCCCAAGGAGGCCTGGGCTGCTGATGCTGAGGCTTTGGACGTCAACCCGTATGGGAGCATGAGTGGGGTCATCCGCATGAAGTTGACTGAGACCAGCGAGGCAACAGGCGTGGAGGATGAGGCGGTTGACAAGGAGGAAGGGGGGGACTCTGAGGACTCTGAGGAAGGGAGCAGTGGGAGCGAGGAGTCTGATGCGGAAGCAGACAGTGTGCAGAGGTTTGAGCAGAGGATGGATCAAGGTCTCTCACGCTTTGAGTTGAACTACACAGGAACAGATGGCCAAACTGGAGAAGGAGCATGGGAAGCCGGTATGCTGCGACACCGGCTCTCTGAAGTTGAGGAGGACAACATGAAGCTGGAGGAGGACAACATGAATCTGCGAGAGGTATGGTGATGCTTTAAGCACTCTGGTAGGATTGTCACTGCAGGGTACTAGCAAGGGAGTCTGTTCGGAGCTTAAGAGCTTAAGAAAGCTACCGTATGTCGGCCAGAAAATAGAGCTTGTTTGAATGCAATTGGAAAGGGCATTTTTCACCTTCGAATAACGGCACTAAAAAGAAAGGCTGCTGCCATTGTTGACAGTGTTGCTTGGCAGGGGAGTAAATGTGTGGTTCTTTGTCAATCATCTATCTATGCTAGACTGCGATCAAGTGCCACGTTTACCTGGCAACATTTAGACAACTTTCGCTTTTCTCTTTCGCAGAAACTGTTTCTGGCAGAGAACCTGATCAGGGAGCTGCAGAGGAGGTTGTCGCGGACAAGTGCAGGAGCAAGCGTAGTTCCTTCAGTGGACTCTCGAGGCAGCGGCGGTGCTTCCTATGCCATGGGGGCGCTGGCGTACCCTCAGGCCTCATCGTCTGCATCGGAGGAGGGGGCGTCATCCGGCGGCGACCTCCTGGGCATCCTATTCGGGGAGGGAGATGCTCAGATGTGCACACCTGCTGATGCTTTGTGTGCACCCGGCGACATTGATGAAGATGCTGACTCGCGGCAACCGCTGCCTGTGCAGAAGGCTCACCCCGAGATGCCTGCCTCAGTTGTTCATGCAAGTGTCAGCGGTGATACAGATCTCACCAGAAGTACAGGTACAGAGATAGGCATTATGCAGAAGTAGGATAATTGGAGCAAGTGGCAGACTGAAATTTGAGTTCCTGTCGAGCCTTGTCACAGATTGGGCGCGTCTCTGCTCTCTGGGCTGCAATTGCGGCCTGGACCTTGGGCAACCTCGGACGCGCCTGGTAAGCCAGCAAGTGGACGCTGCTCACCTTTGCAACTGCTTGTTGAGCATTGTTGACAGCTTTGTTGTGAAGCATGTCGAGACCATGGTTTTTTTTTGCAGATCAGCTGCTGCTGTTCTTGTCTACCGTATCTTCTCTGCGTTTCTTGCATGTTAGCTCATCTCACAGTAGTGCCACGAGCTGATGCCACGCTTGCTCATGACAGAGTCCGGCTCTGTCGCTCCGAACCAGAGTGGGCCACTCGTTGTGGTAAGGTGCTTTCCCTGCGTCCTCTGTTATCAGCCGTTACCACTGCTGTTAGCCCAGCCGCAGAGTGTGTACAAAAGTAGGGCAAGCGGAAGTGTTACAGTAAGATTACGTGACTTGTAAATATGGTGGCCATGTGTATGGTGCAATTTTGACAGGAATTCCAGCTGGTGATCAGCTGGTGAGGTCTTACGGTCTCAGCAGCGTGTGCAGTCACTGGAGTGCTTGACTGGTACCAACGCGCGCGGCACAAAACTTGCACGCAACTCTACAAAGCTAAGTGCGCTGTGAGATTATGCACTTCTCAATCCTGTAGCTCCTGCTTGCATCATGATTGTCAGTGCTCTCAAGAGGAATTGAATATGTATGGCGTTTGCTTTAAAGCTCAAGGGCGCCCTGGAAGGGGTATATTGTACTGGTTATGAAGTTGACCAGACTTGGGGTCTGCTATCCCTGCACAAGGTGCTCACTCAAAAGTAAGAACAGTCCAGAATTTGCTGGTCTTTTGTCTGTAAGCAACTAAAGCAGGGGCTTGCGGCTGCTAAATCCTATCCTATTAGGTCATCGACACCCTTTGCCAGTTTGGCTATCTCCTTTATGTATCCTCTTAGAAGGGCAGGGGAGTGCTATAGGCATGCCGGGCTTCCTTCCTTGTTGGCAGTTTGTGTCCAACACAGATTTGCAGCAAGGACCCAGGAGCAGCTGGTCGCAACCCCTCGAAGACAGCGAGCGTGAAGCAACAAGGCTGGCTGCAAATGCCCCCTTCCCCTCGAAATTGGTTGACAGATACCTTACTTCCAATTCTCCTCTTCTAAGAGGAGGTTGGGAACCACCTTAATATCAATGCTATAAGTATCATGTAAGAAAGTGTCCCCTTAAAGGCAACCACTTCGCATTGAAGTGGGAGGTCCTCTAGTAATTGGTGTGACTACGTTTGGACCACGCCAGAAGCTAGATGTTGCTACCAATAATAGTGTGTGGCATGGAGGGGTCATGGGAGTTGGTACCACCTACATGCTAAAAATAAATGGTCATCATTTCATGAATTTGCATGGCGATTTCGGATATGTGAAACGAGTCCTTGCAATGTTGAATGGTCAATCCTTGACTCAATGTAGTGACTCGCGCTGACGAACATGTTGACGAGTGTTGCTTTTATTTATACACCTTTAGAGGCCTCGAAACACCCCCTTGGGACGTGGACAGGTCCAGTACTTCCACTTTGCGTGAGTGTGCGGGTACACAGTATTATTTGTTACATTAATTATGCGCAGTTGTAAGGTTCATCGCGGCCACAATGTACTGCGGGTTTTCAGATAGACCATGCAGCAAGTACAATCCCGGCATGGGGCATGGGGCCCGACCATGGGCTCATGAAACAATTTGCATGGGCCCATTGGGATCATGTGATGGTTCTTAGCGTATTAGGACACTCCACGACGGAACCCAATCTCCTCATTGCATGAAGATGCAAAGAAATGGATGGATGCTGTTATTTCGCAACGAGAATGCTTTGCAAATACAAAATACTCCATGATACCTTTTACCAGGGCGGCTGCGATAAATTCACCCTGATGTTGTGCCAAAACTTAAGCCGGATCAGCGCACATACGCATAGTGGGTTGCGATGTGCTGTAGAAGTGAATCAAACACAAGGGAACGAATCATTTCGATAGTTCTTTCGAGCGTTGAGCCGCTGCTAGGACTGCGTTTATCAACGTTGATCGTACCCCTCCTTTTTCGAGTTCGTGTAACCCTGCTATTGTTGTCCCTGTACACATAAACAAAACATCTGAGATCTTCACCACAGGAACCTCGTTTGACAATGAACTCGAGGTGAATAAACATTGAGTGGAACGAATTTGAATTTGATTCACCTCCCTGACTTACCTCCTGGCGAAGCGACCGAGTCTTTCAACACCCCCGGATGCTTCCCCGTCTGCAAAACCATCTCTGCTGCCCCCTTCACAGTCTGGGCTGCTAAGGACAGTGCAATGTCTCGTGGCAGTCCTGCCGCAACTCCCCCGTCTGCCAGGGCTTCGATGGCGATGAATATGTAGGCTGGTCCGCTTCCACTGCAAACAGTTATCCACCAACTACGCTTTGCCACTCAGGAAAACAAGTCGACATTCTTCTGCTCACATGGAACGAAGTCGAGGAGATTTCATCAGCAACGTCCAAAATTAAGGAATAAGAGATCGTCACTGGAACGAGCACACTTGGTCGCAGTCGAAAACAAGTTGCGTGACTGCTAGAAGGGAGACAGAGCCAACCGAAGAGTAGATTCGAAGATTTGGCCTTGCAATACTGCCTACGAAAGACTCAGTTGTCATTCAGTCTGCACGTTAGCAGGGGTTGGCTTTCACCTGAGGCCTGTGACTGCATCTAGCAGGTTCTCGGGCACAACGTGCACAAGCCCCACGGCACTGAACAGCTTCTGCACCAGTTCTCCGTCAGCCTCAGTTGCGTGCTTCCCCAGGGACAGAGCTGCGAGGCCCGCTGGTCAGGTTAGATCGCTCACTTGGCACGAACTTCTAAAGCCATGTACGAATTCAGCATTGAGAAACAGCTTTGTTTTTGACACGATTGACCACACAACCAGAGTTGTTCTCCTTCACCGATGCCACCTTTCAAAAGGGTTTCTTGGGGAAAAAGACGGAGAGACTAAGTTCCTTATATGACGGGATTCCAAGGTCACAACTTTGGACAAACTCACCTGCAGCGGTCTCCCCAACGAGGCACGGGGTATTTGGCATCACTCGTACAATCCTTGCTCCTTTCCCAGCGGCCGCCTGCAGAGCGGGTGCATGGAGTTTGCAAACTGCATCCCACACATACCATCCGAGAACCAGCACTAGCCAACCCATGGAAGCAATCCTGACAATCATAGAAGGAGCACATTTTCCAAATCCTGAACCGAGATTCAGAAATTAGACGCTAATGGTGTGCGTCTGACAAGCCCATGGTGATCTGGGCTGATTGCGTAAGATACAGAAGGCTGCAAACATCTGCCAGGAAGACAATTGATGGTTGGTAAGTGGTGGTTCTCACCTGCAGTTGTTCCAGTGTGACGCCCGCGGCGATAGACACAATCAAGTGCCTCTCCGTCAACGTGGTCTGCAGCTCTTCAAGGACCTTCTTAACTGAGAAACAGCAGAGACTTGGGCAACTTGTGAGGTCTAATCAAGCATGAAAAGGTCAAACAGGTAGTGTGAGGTTTGATTAGATGCAGATGTGCGGGGAGCTTTTGATCCAGCCGACTTTGCATCACAAGATTTTGGTGTCAAAACACTAGGCTTACCGACATAGGGCTTGACCGCCAAAAAGATCACGTCACTCTTCTCCGCCACCTGCACAGTGGAATGTCGTCGCTCAGGTTCATCTACAGCAAAAGCCAAGACCCACTTTGTTGCCTGCCTTCTTACTGCCATCTAAGCAGACAAGCAATCTGAGCGCACCCCCAAAACCGTAGCTCCAAATCGCAAACAACACCCATTGTGATTGAAACACCAATTATGATTATGGGGGGGGCTTAGCCATGCAATACGCTTTCTAAGGCTGACCAGCCATACCACCCTTCTTTAGACCATGGCGAAAGACTGTGCCCCTGTTACATTGGAGCTGGTATCATTGTTTGCAGCCCAATGGAGGCCATGAAAAGACTGAACACATGCGTGACGGCCGTATGAGCAGTAGATGCTGACCTCCACATTGCTCTGCAGAGCGGTCACACCAAAACTGCTAAACACCTCTCTCCTTGCCTCCGATGGGTCGGTGGCAAATTGCTGGCTAGCCGGCACGACACCAGCTTTGCTGAACCCGCGCGCCATGGCTTCGGCCATCTGGCCAGCTCCAATGAAGCCAACATTGACGTCTAAGCTTGATTCTGCCATTGTCTCCTCTTCGGAATTCGCTTCTGGACTTGCCTTTGCAATCAGATTGTTGATGATCTTTGATGAGATGGACAGCTTCCTGACACTGGTCCGCTTTGCAGCCAGAGGTGCGAATTGCCCCTGCCAAAGCCCGGAACGAAATGCAAGAAACGAATAGGAGCTGTTCTTTGAACACTCTGCAGACAAAATGGTGGTGTTCGCCTTAAAAGAATCTGCAATCTGCAGGGCACCACCGTTGATAAGGGTGTGGCGAGAATGCGGGCCAAGAGTCGCAGGGGAGACAATGGCAATTCCTTGGAAAAGAGTGGACACTTTCCTGCAAGCTTGAGCGAAGGACATCGTCAAACTGTCGCATTGCCCCTGTGAGAAATGCAGCTGATGACGGCGACAGGGCGAGCTTGCGCGAGCTGGGCCCGGCCGTGTTCCCATGTTCCGGCGGATACCGCTTTCCGTCGGAGCAGGCTGTCTGGAATCTGGATGGCAGATAGCCCCGGAAAGAATTCAGAGCCCTCACAGCCGCAGACCGTATGCGGCCTGCTGCATGGCCCTCCACCAAGTGCGGGCCCACTGTGAAGCTGATCCGGCACTTCCAAAGCCTAAGGGCACCGCGGATGCGAGATCAGCAAACTTGAAACACGGAGCAAGTACAGATGCCGCATGTGGACGGAGGTCGACTCTTTTTGGTCACCAAGGGCACGTACAAAGCGGCCGCGAGAGGCACATTTGTACTTATGGACTTGCATTGGATGACCAAGAGCCGCCGGTCAAAATACGTCCTCAAGGAATCCAGTTAGCTCAGCTTCAAACTTGGTGTCTTGATGCGTATTTCTTCCGCTTCTTTTGACCCATAGGGATATCCTGACTGATAGAACCCGAGTCATTGGCTTCGTAATCTTGCATTCCATGACGGTCTACAAACAGCAATAGAAATGATCATGGCGCACAACATGAGTGCATAATATCAAGAAGCACCACAAAAACCTCCGCACAATAAAGTTGGTTCGGCTTTGAATACAGTGTAAGACTCTAGGGTCTCAGGTACGGGAGCCCTAGCACCTGCCAAACTTGGCATCATTGCACTAGCCAGATGAAATACTTTTACAACTCGCTTGCGGTCTTCAATGTTGGCACTCGATCTGTATTGCAACCTTTTATTGCTAAGCAGCGAATGTCGAATTGATGCCACAATGGCGTGGCTACCTTTGGAAACGCTGTACCTGGATACCTTCTATCAGTGTCTATATGAAAAAGGGCGCATAGCCGCCTATACTATTTCTAATTCTTCCGCTTTGTGTTCATCCTCTCATTCTTGCACATGCGTACACTCTTGGGGGTGACCTCTACAAGTTCGTCTTCCTGGATGTACTCCACACAGTCGTCGAGGGACATGTCGATGGGGGCGTCCAACGGAACTGCAGAAAACACAAGTCATCGAGAGTCAGTTGCTAGCTCAACAATTCCCGACACGCTCCCACATCAACCTCCCAGGAATCGAAAACTGCCGACTTCCACAAGCAGGATACTCATGCCGACTTCCACAAGCAGGATACTCAACCCCACTGAATATTGTCCTACGTGCCCCCTTTGTTGATTCCAAGAAGCAAAGCGTCGCTCACCTTTGACGTCAGCGTTGGAGCGCACGTTGGTTGCGGCCTTCTTCTTGCAGACGTTGAGCTGGAGGTCCCCCGGCCTTTGGTGGATGCCCACAATCTGGTTCCGGTACACATCGAGGCCCGGCTTCACGAACAGCTTGCCGCGCTCCTGGCAACTCACCAGCGCATACGATGTTACTCCGCCCGTCTCGAAAGCCACCTGCGCAAGCATACAACACGTCAGGACAGCTAATCGACTCTAAATCATCAGGGTCGGAACAATGATAAGGGATTGACTGATACAGAAACGAGGATCCTTCTTCTCCAGACTCCCTTACTCCAGGAGACCCGCTTTCAACTCGGCGTTTGGATACGTAGCCGCCAATCAAGAGACGCTTCACAAAGACCATGTACGACACTGAGGATCGCAGCAACTACAGCTTTGAAAAAGTGCAAACGCTTCAAATACGACGTTTCACGCCTGCAGAAAAACACATGCTTTGTGAACGCCACTTGACCCCGCGGTTGACCCGCAGCTTACCAGCGAGCCGTTGTCCCTGGTGGCCAGGTCCCCCGCGAGGTCGCCGTACTCCATAAAGATGGTGTTGATGACGGCCGTGCCGCGCGTGGCCGTCAGCAGCGCATTCCGGATGCCGAGCAGGCCGCGCGTCGGGATGCGGTACTTGACCACGGTCATGCTCTCCATCCTGGAATACCGACAATCGAGTCAGGATCTGCCGAGCAGGCCCGCTTGCATCGATCATATCCAGACCTGCCTTGCATGAACTCAAGGTAGCAAAGAGGAGTGATACCCTCACGCCCCAAGAGGCAGGAAAGAGCATGCCGGTGCAACACTCGGGGTGCTTGCTCCACAGGAGGAACACAACCAGAACGTGGTGCGCGTGTAGCAGACGTGCTCGAAGCACTTTCAACGGTCACGTTGAAAGCTTTTCTTATTCTCGCCGTCTTGCTTACCCTGTGCTGAGGTCCATCATAACCCCTTTCCTCTTGCCCAAAAGGTCCACGACGGACCCCACGTACTCCTCCGGCACCTCCACTGTGCACTCCTGCATAAGAAAGGGGGGGCGTCAGAAACGGGAGCGAAAGGAGAAACCAGTATGAGGCTCCCTCCGCCAACCTTCGGTTCCAGCCAACTAGTACGGCTGGCTACTCACCGCCAGTCCTTGCTTGCCAAGCGCATTTTAGAGATAACAAGTTGGAGGTGCAAAATTACCCGACACGTCTCCAGCGATTGTTCAGTACCTGGACCGAAGCCTCGCACCTCTTGCAGAGAGAGGCGCTGAAGAGGCATGTGACCGAGACATTGCGCAGCGGCAGCCGCAGCCTACCTCATAAGGTTCCCGTTTCTGGCCGTCAACCTCCTTGAAAATGACCTTGGGGGGCCCAATCATGAACTCGTAGCCTTCTCTCCGCCTGCAACCAGCCGCAGATTGAGTCCACTTAGTTCCTTCTCGAAAGGCCCGGCTCCGACCAGCTCCTGATGGTCATGCAAAACCTAGCACTGAATGCAAAAAGGAGAGTCACAGGTAGCTGGCCTTCCGCAGCAAAGCTCGTCATCTTGATCTCGAGCGCCCTTGGTTGAACCTTTCGAATCCTAGCTTCTCAAGAGCACAACAAACAGTTGGTTTGACCAGACTTCATTCACCAGCCTTCTTTGAGCCCTCACATGTTTTCGATCAAGATGGTGATGTGCAGCGTTCCCCGCCCGCTGACGATGAACGAGTCTGCCGTCTCCCCATCCTCTACGGTCATGGCCAGATTCCTTTCGATCTCACGATACAGCCGGTCACGCAGGTTGCGGCTCGTCACGAACTTGCCCTGCACATTGAAACAGGTACGGCGTCAAAAAGCGACCTCAAGGCCAGTACCGCTTGTTGAACACAGAATTTGCACAGTTAGGCCTTGTTGTCTGCTCTCAAACGGTTCTCCAATCCCATCTATCTGATTCTGACTCTAATTTCGGGAAGAAAAAAAAAGGCAATTGAAACCCTCAAGGAGCCGTATGACTGGACCCCTCGAGGAGCCGAATGACAGGACCAGTTCTCAAGGCGGCTACGCTTTTCAAAAAGCCACTGCCGGACCACTTTGCCCAAATGGTCCCAGGAGCGGTCTGCGACCAAAACCCCTGCTCTTTGTACAAAAACCAGTCGTCGGCAGTCACTTGGTGATGAAAAGCAAGAGTTAGGGTCTTGATTTTCAGCTGACCTCCTGACCAGCGAAGGGGCTGGTGTTGATGTTGAAGGACATGCGCACGGTCGGCTCCTCCACAGTGATGGTGGGCAATGCCACCCCGTTCGCCCGGTCTGCAATCGTCTGCCCAATCATGACGTCACCCAGCCCCGTGATGGCGCAGATGTCGCCCGCTTCGACCAGGTCCTTCGACACCTTCCCAAAGTTTTCGTACACAAACACCTCCGAGATGGCCGCAATCCGGCACACGTCGTCAGGCGTGCAAATCTGCATGTGGTGGACATATGATTGAGGAATAATAGGAGTTTGACACAGCCCGATCGAAAAAAGGCATCCCGCTGCCCCGACACAAAGCTGGCAAGGGTCAAAGATCAAGCTGGGGGACAAGCCTACGCCTCCGAGTTGCCACATGTTTCCTTGTCGAGGTTGCTCAACGAGCAGATTTCTGCCTGCTTATACAAAATGCCCATGATCTGCAGCGTACTCAAAGGAAAATCATGCAGAAAAGTGGCAAGGAAACGGAATGAGGAATGGCTGGCTCTCTATCAGTGGACGGGTACAACAGCCCTGTACTGCGACCCTGAACATGCCCCATAAGCACTTCGCCGACAATATTCGTATCCTGAGGAGCTTCAGGTAACACCCTGGCTGCAGGGCATCAGGCAGGCGCACCTTGACCATGTCACCCTTCCTGACGCTCCCCGCTGCCACTCGCCCAATGCAAATCCGGCCCTTGTGCTCGTCATAGTCAAGGTTGGTGACCTGCACAAACTGACACCGAGTAAGGATCTTGGAGACATGATGGCAGGCGACCAAAATGAGCAAACCAGAGGTCCGCTCTCAATCACTCTCATGAGTTTTCTTGACAATCTCTGTACTTGGAACTGCGCTCCAAGCACAAAGCTGCTTATGACTGTTTGCGGGTTTGACCAACGCTGAGAGGCGCCTAGTCCAGTTCTGACAGCCAAGCGCTGGTGCCAGGTTGCCGGTGCGCTCACCAGCATCTGGAGGGGTGCATTGTGGTTGACCTTGGGGGGGTCCACGCAGCGCAGGATGGTCTCAAACAGGGGCTCCAGGTTGTCCGCCATGTCGCTGGGGTCCAGGCCCGCAATGCCCTGGAACCCACTGGCGTACACCACTGGGAAATCGCACTGTAAGCAGATCATGGACAACATCAAAAGCTGCCCATGCTGACCGCTGACCTGGAAGGGCATATCCAGACTGGGGTCTACTTGGCCAAATATTATGCCCCATCATGCGACCGAGCGATGCACATTGATGCTTGATGAGACAGTTGTTGAGCCTTGGCTTAAAGCCTTACTTTTCGGTGGACTTGAAGCTTGACTGGACAAGGGGCCACAATGAGCGTAGGCCCCCTTATGGAACCCTAAAACCTCAAGATCCTGATTGAGCCCTCACCTGCTCGTCTGTTGCCTTGAGGTCACAGAAGAGCTCGAATGTGGTGTCCACCACGTAGGCAGGCCGTGCGGACGTCCTGTCAATCTTATTGACCACCACCACCACACGCTTACCCAGCTCCAGCGCCTTCTTCAGCACAAACCGGGTCTGGGGCATGGGGCCCTCCACAGAATCAACCTATAATCAGAAGCAGTAGAGTTCAGCGACTGCTGGGCGCCAGGAGCATTATTTATGGAGGGGTTTATTTCTGCTAACATTTCTGGACCTGCACTTAAGCTGCATTAGACTCGACTGTGTCTGCCTTGGGAACTTCTTGTGGTCGAGTGCGTATAGCTGTACAATGGCTGCCGCATCTGTTCCCGTCTCAGGGTGGAGAATTGAAAGGCAGACCATCAGGACAACACCGATGATGCCTGCACCACTTAGCTATCGAAGGGGTTTTGGTTGCACGTAACAGGAGAACCAAACGAGCCCTTCATGAAGAGGGTAACCCTATAAAGCCAGGGATTCAAACTTTTTTGTGCCAAGAGGGCTTGTCAAATGCAATGCCACTCCTAACAACAGTTCCACTTGATGCCCCTGCTAGAAGCATCCACGAAAGCCTCAATCAATCAATAGCCACTCGATACATACATGTGCAACTCTTTGCGAAACTAATGAGAGCCAACGACTTTCTTACCAGGAGGAGCACCCCGTCAACCATGTTGAGCACGCGCTCGACCTCCCCGCCGAAGTCTGCGTGACCGGGTGTGTCGATGATATTGATCTTGGTGTCCTTGTAAGTGATGGCGGTATTCTTGCTCAGAATAGTAATCCCCCGCTCACGTTCCAGGTCGTTGCTGTCCATGATGCGCTCCTGCACCACCTGGTTGGTGCGGAACACCTTGGCCTGCCGCAGCATGCTGTCCACTAGCGTCGTCTTGCCGTGGTCGACGTGCGCGATAATTGCAATGTTGCGGATGTCGTCCCGGAACTTCTCCTTGGCCGACGCTGCTGCAAAAGACAGCCTCGCACAGGTCAGCACGCGCAGCTTGGGCAGGGCAGAAGCAGGGGGTCTGCGCTCCTCAGTAAAGGGATAAGTGTTGTATTTGAAAAGCGGGGTTGCTGGAGGGAGATGCTGTATGGGGGCTCAGAGGAAAGGCACTGCCAAGCTCAGAAAGCACAAAGCAATGCTGCCGAGGCTGAGCGGACGAGGCAGGTATAAGGATCTAGGAGCGTAACTCATGATGTGAGGCTGGCCGGCATTGAGAGTGCTAGTGATCGCCAAGTGGCACTGACTATACAGGCTCACTCAGCAACCCAAGTAGAGTGGCAGAAAGGGTCTCATAGCAGAAGAGCTGTCAGACTGAAGCTGCTATCCACAAGGCTTATGAGGTTGCAAACACCATTACCTGATACCTACAAACTAAGAAAACCCTAAGAACATTACAGACTTTCTTGGACAGCTTGTCTCCCGACCGTCGCTCCTAGCTCACGGAATCAATAAACTCAAGAAGCAGACGAAGAGAAAGCACGGAGCTCTTCTTCTATAGATCTCTGAACAGTGGAGCCCCACAAGATCTGTGAGCAGCCATACAAGCGAAAGCCACAGAGGCAATGTTGACAGTCAGCGTCGCGCACCATCTTTCTCAAGATCCGCTGGGGGTGCAGCCAATGTTGCACGAGCAACTCCGGCCGCCCTTGTGGCACGCACAAACTGCCTCTCTGACCTCGCACCACTGTCCAGGGCCTGTCCCATGAAGCCGCCCCTTAGCTCTGCTTTTTCCATCCTGGGGGCTGCACCACTTTGCCCCTCCCTCCATGACAGGCCAGCACTAGCGGGGCACACAGCAGTCTGCCGTGCCAAAGAGGCTGCCGACGATGCCCCTGCCAACGCTTGTCCAGCAGAAGCCCTCGCTGCGAGGGATGCGGTACTGGCAGCCATTGCTTACGGTATGGGTCTCTGGCGCTGGATCTGAACGCCGCAGAATGGCGTCGCTTTTGTACGGGCCGTGAGGAAGGCTCGCTAAAAATCTTGGAAGTTGTAGTGTGCCGTCGCACTCCTTTGAGGGACTCGAGAAGGGAATGTGGGCAAGCGGAGAGATTGTGGCCACAGGTTTGTGCTGAAAGGATCATGCCGCAAAACTTCTGCAAACGGTAAAGCTGGGTAAAGGTTTGACGAAAAGGAATCCTGGGGGAACAAAATCGCGGTGGATGGATTGGAGCCGCACGGTTGAGCCACGTTGACCTTATCGTACGGTTCAAAACCCCGCTTTTTGTCTGACCGGGGAATTGCATTTTCGGGGAGCGGACCAAGAGCTCTTAAGTTGGGCTGGGACCTATCGGGCCCGGGGCTTTGTCTTCGTCTTCCCGGTAGGCAATCCAGTTTCGACAAAGATCCGAGCTTCCGGGATATGTATGACGTCAGCAAGCCGTGACGCAACTTCGTTCAGGCGCCAACGCAGACCGTCCATTCTGCCCATGTGGATGAGTTTACGGCTCTCAACTAAACCCCAGTGAGCACTTTTTCGCTTTTTGCATCACGTGACATACCCGGCCCTCTGATTGGCTTTCGATAAGAGCCCTTCTCCTTGCACAAGCTAATTGGTTCAACTTCATGCAACCAGCCGCCGCGCTTCTGCCCCTGGAAGAGGATCACACCTTTAACATCTCACATCACACATCTAGTCCATGTTTGCACGTCTCATTTCTATTTACCTGCTGAAGGTAGAGCGCTGCTTTCGCTTGTACGGGAAACAATTCATATCACAGGCACATGCTCCAGGACAATCGCTGGAAGTAGGGAGCTGACACGTTGGAATGCAGTGGCTAACGACAATGGAGCATTACAAAACGCCCAACCAGGCATCTGGCACACGGCTTGCTGTCGACCTCTACTTGGATGTGGGGTCACCTTACAGCTGGTTCGCCTTGGAAGTGCTTGATAGGTGCGCCCAGCGAGAATCAAGGGAACATTCGTGATTGTGTACTTGTCTGTTGACGAAGCCCACTCTGCTAAATTCTGAAAGTCGGTTAACACCTGCTTCCAACCAAAGCTCACCAAGCCAAGTTCAACTTCTCAAATGAGGCTGATGTTCTTTCAAGGCTCACACATCCTCCACCAACATCGAGAACCTGTGGTAAGGCAAGCCATGAGGTAGCGTTTTCAACGATTGATCTGCTCTTGCTTTTCCCTTTTGGTTGTAGCTGTGGGAAATCTTTCTTGATTGCAGGTACCGCACAACCTGGGACCTGGACCTTGTCCTCCGCCCGGTGCTGCTTGGAGCAATTCACCATGCAACAGGCAACGCAATGCCAGCAATTGTAAGAGCAAGAGGTAAGATCACCTCTCTTCCAAATTGCCCAATCACTGCAATTCAAGGGGTGGCCGGGTAGGAAGAGACCTGAGTAAACATTGTATTGCCAAACGAATAGCCCACTTCAATCAAAAGCACTTTCCCTGACAACCTTAGATCAAAGTTTACTTTTTTAGTTCGGATATTCGCGCTCCTTTCGATCCGTCCTTCGTGTCCCCTTGGCCTCCACCTGGTTCCAGTCAGGTTCGAGTGTTCACTCTTTCATCGGTCTATATGTAGACCGCAATACAACGGCTTCTTAAGAGTTGATGGATTTCCATTTTCATACTTGCTCTGATTTGTAAGGATTAGATCTCAACTGATCTTGTTGGTGACTAGACTAACAATTTCTCGTTTTACCTATTTTCCTTATGCACTCCTGGTTGCACTTGCACTTGGCACTCATAGTTGCTCCATTACGCAGGTGCGCATCTACTGCGGGACTTGCACAGGAGTGCGGTGTTCTTTGACCTGCCTTGGGAGGGAGGTCCCAGTTCGTTTGGCACACCTGCTTTCAACACCATGAACTGTCAGCGGCTGCTTACAGTGGTCGCCATGGACAAGGTGAGACTGCCTTATGTGCTAATGAGGGTCTGGAAGCTCTTCAATGAGTCGGCTTTTTGCACTAGGCCACGTGTTAAATTTCGAGTCGGCTGATGGAAACTGCAGGGAGGACATGCTCCAGCCGGCCACTGGATCCCACGGCCTGACGTAGTCAAAAAGTTTCCGACTTCTTTTTAAGACTGCTGATTTGTGACTTTTTCCAGAGGTCGGAACCTAGCCTAAGCATTGCTTTTTGAGAGAACACAAGCATATTTTGTCTTTGGGAGTCATCTTCCGCTGCCCGCGTTTCAATTGTGGCGCAGAGGAGCCTTGCTTCAATAACCATATTTCTCCTCGTCTTTGGGGGCTTGCCAAGGAAGCCATAGCTCCTTCGTGGGCAAACATTTTCACTGGTCTGTCACATGCATAACTCAGACCGCCTTGTTTCAGGAAGACGCCTTTGAAGCAAGAAGAGATGGAAGTCGGAACTTTTGTAGTTGCCCTTTTGTTGAGCCCCGAACTGCCAAGCTTCGACTGACAACAACGAGAAAGGTGAGAGAAAGGTGGATCAGGACTTTCACCTTCACTTCTCGTCTGGCCTGGGTGCCCTCAAGAACCCATGCCATGGCTTTCCAGTGCACTGACATCACCCGGAATGGAGAGTGAAAGGCTGTGAATAGTAGACTTCGCTGCTATCTGTGCAGGGCGGGGCATCTGTGGAGTTGTTGGCCTTGGCCCGTGCAATGTTTTCCACCATCTGGAGATCCGCAGGGCAGGAGTTAGACGTGCGAGACGCCGAGTTTCTGAAAGGTTGCTGTAGCAAAGCGGGCTTCACACAGGAGGAGACCGACGTGTACTATAGCAGGCTGCAGCGGGATGACACCAAGGCGAAACTGAAGGTGGGCATCTCAATGCTGATTTGTCCACTACGTTTCTGCTCTTTAAAGGGCCACGCTGTCGAACGAAGTGCATCGCTCTCTTTCTCTAGTGCAGATTGCGTCCAACCATGCTTCAACGGCGAGGCAGGTTGTTGACCGTTGTAAAGATTGAAAGCGAACAGTCGAAAGCGAACGGTCGAAAGCGAACGGTCTTGCAATCCCCATTAGTACGAACCGAGACACCCGATGAAGTCGGGTGGATCATCCATTGAGAAGGGATAGTCACAGATCTATGTCTGCTTCGATCGTACAGGAGACTACTACAGAAGCGATCCAGGCAGGTGCATACGGAACGCCTAGCATAGTAGTAAGGGCCTGCCAATCTGAAGAACATGCTGACCTACCCAATTCCTGGTCATCAAAGCCACAGCTGTTCTTCGGCTCGGACAGATTTGAGCAGCTCGCGTTTATGTTCAAGAAGCCATGGCATGGGCCGTGTCCTACTCGAAGTAAACTCTAGTGGGTGGAACGAAAGCTCAATTGTGACAGCTTTGACGGTGATAAATATATACACTTCTGTTGTCCGGTTTGCAAAAACTAAAAGTCTGATTCAACGTCCAACGCTTTCTGAATCAGCGATGAAAGCGGTGGGTTACGTAATACTTGCCTGGCAACTCGACATGGACGAGCATGCATCCAAATTTTGAGTTGGTACGTGGTTCTCTGTACGCACTCCATGCATGTCGCGGATCTTGCAGCCGCGCCGCCATTCTATGTTGCACGCTGCTGCGGCGAGATGGCTTAGGGCTGCATACATGTCAATGATCGACCGTTTCTTGCTTTGATAGTGGGTTGATATGTAGGAAACTGGCACCAAGTCAAGCTAGCTGTTATCAGGCAGCCCTTTCGTGTCACGACCCAACGACGCACGTTTGAGCCGACAGTCTGTCCCGCGGCCGCAACCTCCCCACACTCACTGGCTCGGGTGAGCGCGCTTGTGCTCGGCTCCGGGCCGCCTGTGCCGGTTTGTTGGCGTCCGCTTTCCCTCCGTTTCCACTCGACTTGCTGACGAGCAGTGGGGTGCGTTGGCTACTGGTCTGCCCGCGCACAGGCCGCGTGTCCTCTTCTGAACCGGACGACATGCGACTCCTAGGTCCGCCAACTTTACCCTGCTCCCCTCGAGTTGGCAGTTGCGATTTTGTTCGCCCTTCGCCCCTGGTCTTGTTTGGTGGAGCAGCGTGTTCGACTACAAGGACGTCGGCCCTTTGGGCTTCTGCAGCCACCGAGGGGAAAGTCAGACGATTGTTGATGTGTTTGATGCAGCAGTGATTAGATAAGGAGCAGCTTCCGACTTCATGCCAGCCGATAAGGAACGAATTTGTTAAGTCTGTCGAGGAAACTGAAAAAAGTGAAACGATCGTTTTCCAACCCTTGTTGCGCCCACTTACCTTCTTCTCCCCTTCTACTTTCCAGCAGTGCGTCCCCTTCCTCTGCCGACTTGGCCTGCAAGCAGCGGCGAATGACAAAATCAGTCCGATGGCGCTCACGGGAACGGTAGTCGTTATGGTCGTGGCTAGGCTCACGCAAATTCCAACATTCACACTTGTCCAAGCACCGTTTGGAATCGTTTGTGGTCCTTCTGACATCCAGACCGGTATGAGCCCGTAGCGGAAGCCTTAACGCGTAGGCCGCGACTCTTGGAGGCACCAAGAGGCTGTACTAGCCCGTGTTTCACGAGGTTAAAACCCTTTCGTGACATTTGGGCTCATGATCGGCACACCTCAAGTCTCGTATTCCGTTTCCAGTTGCAGACCACAGCTCCTGCTGAGCACAAGCATCTTTGCTGAGGCGGACACACAAAACTCTCACCTTGACCTCCGCCAGCTCCTGCAGCAGCTCTCGGTGGTCGTCCCCAACCGCCCCACTGCCTGGCGCCAAACCCGCGACAGTGGTCGGGGAGTATTCACCGCTCGAGTCACGCGGAGAGGCGGAGACGCCGTGGGCCGCTTGCCCGCCGCTAGCTTTCCGCCGTCGAAGGGCTTGGACTGTCATGGGGAGCGCACGGAGGCAGGCTTTAGCAAAGAGCGCTATCAGAACAAGGCGCTTGGGAAGGTGTGACCCATGTTTCAGCCATTAAAAGTAGAAGCGATGCAAATTCTTTTGAGGACCTTGGTAGCACAATACGGACAGAGAAGTGTCGTCTTTCGTTGTGACAACGTCCATCGTTTCGAGATGGATCCGACATCTACACAATTAGACCACTTGCTTCTTGACAGCAGCCCATCGAGGATGTGTTGCGGGGTCGTGAAGCCTACCTGGGTTCCCGCAAAAGACCTGGTCAGTCCCGAAGGTCAACTCGCTGGCGTGGTCGGAAGAAGACCCCTCCTCGGACACCCTGCGCGAGCAAAGTCCGCATGCTCATTGCAACGAGACCGTTACGCATCTGCTTGGGGACTTTGGAGAGTCAGCCGTTGATCGAGAAGCAAGGCGTCATCAAAATTCAACGGTTTTAGAAAGTGGAGCTGATTTACTGCTTCCACAGACAATCTGAGAACCGCTGTACGTGTTCCATGGCCCCTCGGCAAGTTTGCCGCACAGCGTAAGAACAGTGGCAAAGCCCGGAAGCGTTGAAGCCGGCTCACCGCTGAAAACTCGCGGGCCGTTGCCGGGCTGTCCCAGGCCTTGTCCCGGCTGCGGTGCCCGGCCTTCCTCCTGCGGCCGTGCTGGGGCGGGAGCCAAAAGCGGACATGGGACGCACTCCTGAGGACGGGGTCCAAGGTCGGGGAAGGCCCGCGCTGTACGAGTGCCGCATGCGTGCGGCCGCGGAGGCGGGCCGGCCCGACGTGCTCTGCAGCCGGGAAAGGGAGGGAGTGGGTTCTAAAGCACGGCCGTTGGGGGGCGAGCAGCGTTTGCCAAATGTGGGGAACGAATGATGAAACGCAGGCCAGCAATGAGGGGCGTGGAAGCAGAGGGGCATGTGCGCGAATTCGAAAAGGAGCTGAGGTTGAGAAGAACCAAACAGATTGTACAACTTTGCACTTCTGCTTCGATTGGGAGTGTAAGAGGACGAGGTGTGGAAGACTGAGAGTGGCGACGTGTGATTTTCGAGTCAACACCTCTTTTGGAGGCGCGATGTAGATTCTCACCGGCGCTGAGCTGGCTCTTTCTCCGCAGACAGGCTGTCGAAGAGTCTCGTCCTGCAAGAAAACCGGCTGTGAGGAACTTCCACCGGTAGAGGAGCGCAGCTAATGCTTGCCTGGCTTCCTAGCTTACGAATCGCAAACCACTGTTCAATGATCAGCTGCCCCCAAAGTCCCGTCGCACGGTCGAGTGCTGCGACTTCAAGCATTACGTATGCCCACTTTCCACGAGAGAGGCCCAGCGGTTTTGTCTCACCGGCGCTGCTGCCACCCTGGCGTATTTGATGCCGTCCCGCACCAGCACCAGCTCTCGCAACTCGTCCGCACTGCGGGGCGTTTCCGGAGCAGCCTCGACAACCGGAGTTTGACCGGGCACCTGACCTCCTGCCGCTGCAGCGTCTCTGTCACTTGGGCCAACCGGCAGCTCGTCCAACATAGTGAGCTGCAACAGGCACGGCACGATACTAACGATGTGTACTCTGCACAAATTGATATCTTTCACCTACTCCAAAAGGTAGCCGGCAACAAGTCATGAAGGTACAAAAGTCCAAGATTGGTTCGTGAGTAAGTCCTGAGAACAGCGTCATTGTAGCGGTTCTCCTTTATTTCTCGCCGCTCCTTGCTGCAAGCCCTGGCAAGAGCAGCATCAAGTCTGTGTTCGTGACGTACCGTGGGTATGAGCTCTACCACGCTGCTTCGATAGTTGGGGGCCGCCGCAACATCGTTTCCCTCCAGAGTCAATGCTTGTAGCTTGGGGCACATGCCAAGAAACGCCACACCGTCCAGGTCGGCTACCTTGTTGGCCTCTAGGTCCAGGATCTGCCGCAGTCAGAGCAATCGCCATGATTCTGTGTGGCTTCTCAGTGCCACACAGGTGGACGTCAACATGAAGAGTCTGTTCGGTACTTCAGTATTGCATTTGAGAGTGGCACGATAAAAGTTCAGTATGATGTGAAGTCGTATAGTAATGTTACCAACCCCATGGAGGTCGGTCTCCTACTTTTCATACTACTTCTATTACACAAACGAGATATGCTGAGCATCTTGCGGCAGTAACTCACTTCCAGGTTCTCCAGGCCTGCGATAGGCGCCAGATCCTCAATGTCGTTGAAAGCAGCGTACAGTTCCCGCAGCTTGGGCAGGCTGCTCAGACCATCAACTTCCTGGAGAGGACAATAGGACCAGTGCTTGACAGGCGGCTTTACCGAACATTTCTGAGAGAGTCTGGAGGTTGTCAGCATTGATCGACTCGGAGCAGAGAAACTGAACTTGCTCTTGAATAGCCAGGCATTGCTGTAGCCTCTTTATTGACTTATTTACCCCTCTGTCCACCATTTGCTAGGCACTGTGTTTCAAGTGCTTGCACCCGGTAGCCCACCTGTAGGCCGCAGCGTGGCACCCAGAGGACCTGCAGCTGCATTAGGCCCGTGCCGAGGTCCCGGATCTGGGGCAGCGTGCTGTCGAGCAACTTGAGTTCCCGCAACTGGGGCACCAACTGCATGGAAAATTGGAGTGAGCAAGTCCACATTTCGAAGGTGCTCGTCAAACTGGATGGCAAGAACAACATCAGAATGCTACACCTGATGCCGCGAGCGGTAAGCATGGTGGTGGTAGAGCGTGAGTGCGTACCTGGCCCACATCGAAGAGGCATGCTTCCGCAGCATTCACGGAGAGCTCCAAGCAGGACACGGTGGACAGGTCCTGCACTTGGAATAAGCTGTCAGTCTGCTGGGGCGCCTCATAGGGGAAAAAGGGGGCCCTCTGGTCAATCAAAAAGGTCAATCCAGCCAAAGAGTTCTTTAAGCCCCAATTGCAATCCCAGTATTCTGTTGGGTTGTACCACCTCCTCCATCTTGCTTACATGCTTCTTCACGGCCCTGGATTTGAAGGTCTTCCTTATTAAAGGCAGCTCTAAACTGCAACAATGTCTTTAGAAGGGGTTGAAGGTTGGTGGCATTGCAAGAGGAGCAAATACCGCACGCTTTACAAGGGGTTTTCCTTTGAGGAACTTGTGAGAGTTTTGGCAGCTGGCAGAGCCCACCCTGGAGGAAAGAGAGGGTGGCCGCCTGTGTCAGTTTACCACACAATGTCACGCCCTTGCTGCTTCTTCACAGCTACCTCAAAAGTAACAGTCCAGTTCTGAAGCATTTACCTCAGCTCCCGTCACAGTTCGTAGAAAAGCAGCAGTCAGTCCGCCTTCAAATTCCACTGCTTCCACATCCCCGTCGTCCATTTTGAGCTCAACAAGCAAGCCGCATTTATGAGTGGGCCACAAATGGAGAACGCTGACCCATGTATTGCTTAAGGCAGGACAGCTTTATTGGATTACACCACAGCTGTACAATCTTGCTTGAAAGTCTAAAGGATTAATGACCAGGTACGTCTGTGTTTCAGAGGTGGGCCAGAATATATGGGCCAAAAGCAATCCTGCACAAACTAACCAGCCGCCAATCCAAGATGGTGTAACTTGAAAATTGTCTTTGTCACAGCAGATAATTTTGCATCAGCCAGCTTGGCATCAGAGCCGTCTCAGCAATCAGCTCTAGCAGGCAAGAGCTACAGCACCGAAAAAACAATGTTCAATAAACTAGCAATAGCTACCTACTCCAGTCTTCAACATCGGATGAAGGCTTGCATCATGATGCGCCGCCCAACTGGCCATCCTCCAAAAATTGCATCGCCCTATTTTGGCGCCCTTATGGGGGCCTACAATCTGGTACAAGCATGCGACATGAACAGCGTCTCGATCAGACTTCTGACTCTCGGTGTTGTTCGCAGTACCTCCTTGGATACACATTGAAGCTTTGCAAACTCACACCTTGTTACGCGCGCGTAGACGCCCATAAAGACATTTTAACCATCCATTTTCTCACTTGTTCAACCCCAGCCGTCGCTTCAGACCGTACTCGATCTGTGCACTGAGTGAACATTAATGCAAATTCTCGTCGTACATGCAGCAGACACGAGAGCTTCAAGCGTGCTTATGAAAACGCGCCGAGGCTTTCCGAGCACTGTACACAGCAGCGTCCCCAATCATCTCAGACCGTGCAGTCCCACTGTCTTTAGTGATTGGCACTCTCAAAAGCGGATTGAAAGTTGCTGAGTACCACCGGCACATTGTGCAGCTGACATGGCTGCAAGCCTCGCTGTATTAATGATCTAGCAGAAGGAACGCAATGCTGAGTTCCAACTCATCTAAGATGAGGATTTGTACAAGACTGGAGTCACCCGATCGGGACCCTATACCTTCATTCTGGAGAGCGTGCATTGTTACGTCTGTGAACAGCACCTTGATAGGGACAGCATTACGGCATTGCTCCAGGATGCGCTTTAAGAGCAGACCCACCGGGACATTCGTCTGGTCGAGCCCCTGCTGGCATGCTGTGCTTGCACTCATCGTGCATGACATTTGCTTCAGGACAGTCCCGATACAACGTCCTCAGCATTGCAAGCCGATCTGGGACTTGCTTGAGGGGCTAAATCAACAGGAAGGCCGATCACGGGTCCCAGAATCACAAGTGTAAGTGACATGAGCCTTCTCTCAGTTGCACAAGACAGTGCTGCTAGTTCAGCTTGTCACTGCCTTCCTCGCTCTGGTGGACGACTTTAGTGGGACAGCTTAATAGATCCTGACACATTACGAGTAGGTGTTACACAAACTTGAGACAAATAATCGAAAAGGGGCTGAAATCCTATGACTGCCCCTCCGCTAAGTGCGGCTACTTGGCGCGGTAACTGAAGTGGCTCCCTTCATGCTGACACACTAATTACTAATTCTTAGCTTGCTGGCAGCAAGGACTCTCAGTTGCCATTGAATGCCCATAATGCTGATAGAAAAGCAGGGGACCCCAGCTTTACGATTGCACAGGGGTGCCAGCACAAAAATTGCGTCTCAGATGGGCTTCTCAGCAGAGGTTCTAGCAATTTTTTGCCGGCCGTGCATTCTGCACGCCGGGCTCCGCCCGGGCGTGCAGAGCCGGCTCCCCGGCGTGCACGCTCGGGGCCAAAGCTCCCGACCGGGAGTTTCCGGCCTGCATGGCCGGGCATTCATGCCGGCCCCATCATAATCCGCCAACCCCAGATATCATCGATAGCCTGGCCGTAAGCCAATGCATACGGATGGATCGGCCCAAGTCTTCCCTTCCAGTCCCAATTTTCGATTCATACCGATACGTAGAGCCACAACTCTGACGGCAGGAGCTCAAGTTGCTTTTATCCACGGTTCTTGGTCGTTGAAATATTTATCGAACGGTCATTCTGGTTGCAAACTGTATGCAAGTTTTTACAGGGGTTGTAAGGTTGCTCGGGGCTAAAGCGAAGAAGGAATTGGCCCGATATTTCGTCAGCTTGAGATATGAACGGAGAGGTCTGTCAAAAGCTTCAATGGTCATTTCTGAGTCACTTGCCGCACCTTATAAGTCATGACTACCGGGCATTTGGTTTAGACCCCTGGGAATTCCTGCACGCTGACCTGCACGCCGGGCTGCCGCCCGGGCGTGCAGACAATCACCCGGGCCTGCTATGCACGCCAATCTGCACGCCGCTAGAACCACTGCTTCTCAGCAGATCTTAGTAAGTTCGTTTGGCAAAACTGCTCGTCAAACGGTGCCTCCAAATACTGGCCGACTGTCTGGTTTTTATGTGAATCCACACTGCCCAATTGCAAGAGACATCGTCGATTTGCACAGATTGTTTTCTGCGGCCCACTGTTGCAGGCGGCATGGCGGTGAGTCGGCGCGAGGCGCCCGAGCCGCAGCCGGTGGTGGTGGTACGCACAAATACGGAGGCCAGCGCAGAGCGCCCCCCGGACGACGACCTGGCATCGTTTGAGGACGTGAAGGGCGCGCTGTACCGGCGCAAGGATTTTTTGACCACGGACGAGGCGGCCAAGAGCCACCCAAACCGCGCCTACTACTACCGCAAGACGCAGGACGTGGAGCGCTTGCTGCAGGTCTGCTCCGCCAAACTGGCGCAAGACCCCTCAAACACGCGCGCGCTCTTTATCCGCGCATCGGCATACGCCAAAAAGGGCGACGTTCAGGCAGCGGCAGCGGACTATACTCGGATCTTGCAAAGAGATGCGACAAACGAGGATGCGCTGTTTCAGAGGGGGACGCTGTATGAGAAGGCGGGGTCCCTGGATGATGCGATAGCAGACTTTACGCGCGTGCTGGAGCTGAACCGGGGGCATAAGAAGGCGGCGCTGCAGCGCGCGGCATGCCAAAACCTGAAGGGGAACCTAGGCAACCTGGAGCTGGCCATCACCGACTACGAGCTGGCGCTGCAGGGGGACGACAGCAAGGCGGGGTTTGCGTTGGGCGGCAGAGGTGGGGGGCGGGACGGCACCGCTCCGGGATGGGCCAGCAGCCAGGGCATCCGTGGCAGCGCAATGGAACCCCAGAGAAGCAGTGCAGTACCGCCCAACGGAGTTGTTCCAGACCTCTCGAGAAGCGACTCCAAGGCCTCGGACACCTCTCTGCAACAGATCTCGAGAAACGGCTCCGAGTCCTCGGAAACCCCTCTGAGAGAGTCCTCGAGGAACGGATCTGCGGCATCGGACTCGTCATTTGCAGGAGTGGTGCCGCAGCGTTCCCGGTCGCGCTCACCGTCTCCTCCAATCACAGAGTCGTCAGACGAGCGGGTCGGACTTCCACGCAGCACGCACGGGCGTCTGGGCGAGGAAGGGCCAGCGTCTCCCTCAAGAGCGGAGCAGTCTTCCCCACAGGTAATCAGCAGGGGCAAGGAGGCCAAGGAACACAAGGGTACAATCAGGAAAGCGGGGAAGGCCGTCTCTGGGGGAGGCGCCGTTGAGGCTCACGAAGGGGACGGTGCCTCGACATCCGAGGCAGGGGCAACGGAGGCGGAGCAGCGCGGCAAAGACGGGGCGGGGCCGTCGGCGCAGCCCAACACGGCAGACTACTACCACGCCCGGGGGTTTGCGCACCGCAAGTCCGGCAATTTTAAAGCCGCCATCGAAGACTACTCCAAGGCCATCGAGCTGGACCCCCGGCACTTCAAGGCGTTGTTCAACCGGGGCTTCTCGTATGACAAGGTGAGGCACACCCCGTTGTTATCGTCAGCCAAAATTCGAGAAAGCCGAAGCCTTTGAGACAGCCACAGCGAGGGGCGAACCTTCGTCAGAATTGCATTTAGGATGCTTTTGATGCTGAGAACACTTCCTGGCCACAACGTGTCTCGTTCTTTCAGATTTCTGGCAGCTTCGTGAGTTAAAGCCTGCCTTTCATTAGCAGCGGATTGCTGAGCTGACAGCTCCTCTCCGCTTCTCGAGAGGAGACTTGGAAACATCTGACGCTCGCGCCTGACTCGGCTGCCGTCCTTTCTAGGTGGGCCACTTTGAGGCCGCCATTCGAGATTACACGCGCGCGCTGGAGGTGCTGCCCAACAACGGGTACGCCTACTACAACCGGGGGATCACGCTGGACCGACAGGCAAGTCACTCCTGCGAGCTCCCCTCTGCAGAAGCTCTGCCACGGAAGCAGCGAGCAAGATAGCGAAGGCTTGCCTGGAAAGTACACCATTCGTGCGCTGAAGGGTGAACGAAAGGAGCCATGTCTGAGGCGTCTGGTTTGACAAAGTGCTGGGTCGCTGTGGCTGCAGGGCAAGTACGCGGAGGCGATAGAGGACTTTACCCGGGCCATCAAGCTGGACCCTCAGAACGCGGACTTCTACCACAACAGGTCAGCTGCCGAAAATTTCAACCACTTGTGATACAAGCCGTCGGGAATGAAGAGTACAAAGCATGGAGTTTTGATATATAGTAGAAGCCTAGTCGCCCTTTTCAGGAGATATGATCGGGGCATGATTCAAACAATCGAGACAGATTGTGCATGCTGTGCGCAGGGGGTTTTCGTTCCGCAAGCTGGGCCGCTTCCAGGACGCGATCGTGGACTACAGCCGCGCCATCGCGCTGAACCCGAGCCACTGCCGCGCGTACTACAACCGCGCCTTCAGCCACGACCGCTCCAAGAGCTACGCGGCCGCCATCGCGGACTACACCCAGGTGCGGCCGCGGTGGGCCGCCGATTGGGGGCCCAGGAACAGAATATGTCAACCGCACCAAATTTTTCACTTCGAGATTCTGGAGATTGAGACATCGTGAATGCAAACGTTACTCGTATGCGAGGTCAGGGAGCTTGTCTCTTAATCATCCCCCCCTGCCTGACTGCCGCCCGGTGTACGGTGCACAGGCGCTGGCGCTGGAGCCCAACAACGCGACGGCGTATCACAACCGGGGCTCGCTGTACGAGCGCGTGGGGCGGCTGCCGGACGCGCTCGCGGACTTCACGCGGGCCATCGAGATCGACCCGTGAGCACACGCGCCGCAACCATCAACCATCGGGATAGTCAACTTAGAGCGTCAAAGGAACGGACCAGACACATTTGTCACCATACTTTGTTGAAATTGCCTGCTGCGAACTCGTAAACTCGATGTTGCCCGGGTGATTGCCCGGGTTTTTGAGCGAACCCCTTACCCCGCCGGCGGGTTGCGCGCAGGGAGGGCGCGCTGTCGTGGAACGCGCGCGGTCTGTTGCAAGAGCGGCTGGGCCGGCCCGAGGACGCGGCCAAGGACTTCGACACCGCCGTCACACTGGTGCGTAGCTTAGACTAACACTAGTGCCCTGCTAGACTCTAGCGAACCGCGCACCATTCAGTGCAGACCGTGACTATGCCTTAGGATGGAGTCTAGAGAGACGTAGCTTGATCGCGCTTGACCTTGATGCAGGCTCGCTGCTCACGCGGTCCGACATACGCTTACGAGTACGCATCGAAGCCTCCAGGCAAGATTGTTGGGCTTCTAACATCAGACAAGGAACAGTCGGAGCGTACGAAAGAAGGATTGTAGAAATTTGCGTAACATTCGGGCTCCTATTCCTGAGTCGCCAACCGCACTTGTCGCAGGAGCCCGGCAACGCGACGTTCCTGAAGAACCGCGGGCTGTGCTTGCGCAACCTGCGGCAGTTCGAGGCGGCGGTGCGCGACTTCGACGCCGTGCTCAAGCAGCTGCCCGCCGACTTCGTCACGCTCAGCAACCGGTACGCTCCCCCGGGGGCCTGCCCGCACCTCGCCCTTCCTTTTCTCCAAAGTGGTCTTAGAGAAACCCCCGCAGGTTGCTGCGGCCTTCCTTGACCTTATTTCTCATTGGGTGCGGCCGAATAAGCTGGGGTTGCAGGCTTCGAAGCGACGGCGATGGATCGAAATCAAAGTCGGTTGTGCTGCGCTTGGACCCCTGTTTCTCGACTGCCGGGCGACCGCTAACGGGTTTTCATGTTTGGCGTACAGGGGCTACACGCACCGCAAGATGGGCAACTTCGGGCAGGCCATCAAGGTAAGCGAGCCGCGAGTTCGCGCATAAAAGCAACACGCCCATGCCTGGCCGCACACAATCCTTTCCGAAGCCTTCAAATCCAAAGAGGCAGGTTGTCGTGCTATTCAATTACTCAAGGGTGTGAGGAATTGGCATGAGTGCTTGAATCAAGGATGAATATTCTCCCGAACCATCCCGTGTTCGTTCGCGAGAGCTGCGCTTCACAAGATGCGAGTCGAGGGAAACGCGGGCAGCAGTTCACGAATCAACGGTTGAAGAAGGAGCGGTGTGTGCGTTGCGCAGGACTACACGGCGGCCATCGGCGCGAGCCCTGCCAACGTGCGGCTGTACACCAACCGCGCCTACTGCCTGGCCAAAGTGGCGCTCTACGAGGAGGCCGTCGCGGACTACGACCGGGTGGTGCAGCTGGAGCCGGGGAACACGCACGCGCTGCACAACCGGGGCATCAGGTGACTGCCCGGGGCAAAAGTCTCGCTCGCGCGATTATGCACGTGCAGCGGAATGGAAGAAGCCGAAGCTTCCGACCCAGGAAAAGAAGCCCTGTTGCGGCGGAAGGCAGGAGCAGCCCCGGACCCGAAATTCCGTAGGGGTCGGAGAATTGTGAGAGAAAGGCGGCCCAAAAAGAAGCCACAAGGGCGCCGTGCGATCGCTTCCGTTTACGATAGATTTTGGATACGTGTGCTCTGACACTCACGGGTGCTCGCTGTTGCAGCTTCGACAAGATGGGCGACTTCGAGCGGGCGATCCAGGATTTCACCGCAGGTGCGCAAGTGCCGCCTGAATGTGGGCAAAACTGTGCGCGAGCATGTTCGCGTGCGTTCCTGGCTGCCGTCCTGGCTCAGCAGCGGAATGCGAAGGCTTTGTAGATGACCGACTCCCCTGCTTGCTAAATTCCTGCATATCATTGCTGCATCCGTCCCCCGGCCCCGTTCCTCGGTGCTGACGTGGCCCCATCCGTGCGCTCCCCGCAGTGCTGGCCCTAGACCCCGGCAACGCCAACGCGTTCTTCAACCGGGGCTCGGCATACGACAGCCTCGGCGACTTCGACCGCGCCATCGCGGACTACACGCGCGCGCTCGAGATGGACATGGCGCACAGCGGGTGAGCGCCGCCGCGCGCGCACTTCTTGCTGAAGAGTTCGAGAGTCTCGGGTCAAAGGCACCCACGAAAGCGGTCAAAGTGGCGACGTTCTTCCGCCGTTTGGCTTGGCGGCCTCGCAAAGCTTGAACAGCCAAGTGTTTGCTTCACCTGACAAGAGACCGTGGGGAAGTTGCTTCCTCGGCATCCCTTGCCGCCACCATATGGCAACGGTCTCGCAAACTGCTGTTGTCAGCTTCTGACGGCACGCTCGTGCGTGTCTGCGGAGTCAGACGCTTCTAGACATGCTCGCACACATCTTGATTACCCCCGTGTCTTGCAGCGATGCCAAGTCAAGTGCAGACATCTCTGCGGCGGCAGCGGCGGCGTTGGAAAGGCAACGGAAGCGGCACCAATGACGTCCGAATACTTCCCCCCATTTGTAGCAGAAAGGGCTTTAGCCCGCCGCGTTGACACTCTGCAATTCGGGCAAAGCCAGCTGAAGCACCGGAGCGTGCCCGAGTGCAGCTAGTGACAGCTGTCGTCTGTGGCGTAGATTCGTCCTGTTGCGCTCTGTTCAAAAGCATACAAGGTCCTTTTAGGGGCCTGGCACCGGATACCAATCATTTCGGGAAGGCTGTCGGGCGTGGCCAACAGCTATATATAAATAATTATATGCCGTAACGCCTTAACAGCTATATCGCAGTCCAAGGTTGCGCGCGGTCTCAAGCGGCCTGCAAAACTTGAATTACACACATGGCATCATCAGCAAGCTTGTGCTTAACCTGCATGCTTTAAGGGGAGACAGCCGCTGAATAACTCTTAAACGGCAGCTTATAAGACTCAATTAAGGGGTGCATACATCGGCTGGGTTATTTGGGGTAGTGCATACATTGGCTGGGTTATCTGGGGTAGTGCCAGTCGATCACGCCAACCTGGAAGCGGTAATGCTCGGTACCTTCAGGCGCCAACAATGAAGGGCTGGCCAGCTAGACATTTATACCAAATTTCCGCGAGCCTGTGTACAACGAACTGGTCGCCGTTTACTTAGGTCTGAGAACATACAGCTAGGTGCATCGGTCTGCGCCCCACCCATGGTATAGCGTTTTCATTCATGTCACACGTGCATGCACGAAAAGACGCAATAGCTGGAGATCACATCAAAGTCCGAATCTCTGTGAGCATACCTGTCTTTCAACGTACAGCTAAGCAGACATGATCACTCACGTAAACAAAATTAGACGCACTGAGCATGATATTATCGGTGACAGCCGCGCTACTGATTGAAACTATGGCCGAAAAGGCGTCAACCTTTTAATGATGTTCATGATTCCAGGCTCGGGGAGATTTTCAAGGTACAGCGACTATTGTTGATTCATCCCCAAAAAAAGATTTGTTTTGAGACTGACCTTCGCAACTGCATGTTGATGGAAAAGCCACTACCTGTGCCCTTACTTAGCGTCCGCAAGTCTTCCTTAAACGTAATCTAGCGCCGTCATCCATGCAAGGCACTTAGTCAACTCACCTAGCATTTTGCATCCGCCTCTTGACATCGGCATACAATTGGATACGAGGAAGTGACTGGTCCTCTGTACACCGCAAAGCATCAACTACGACTACAAGTCCTGCACGCGCCCTTTCATATAAGTTAACGCGCGAGCGCCTTGCTGAGAATCGCGTGGCGCTTACATACACGGCGCGAGCGTAGCACATCTGATTGCGTAGAACATCTGACTGCCCGCAATCCAATCTGGCGCTGCATGGTGCGCCTCTTGCAGCAGCTTTTAAGCAGCATGCGACTGCGCAGCTTCTACTCTGCTTCGCACATTCATACCAGGTCGGAGAACGATGTCACCACCTTGTGCGGCTTGCGCTTCTCCGGGGGTCCCACGGAAGTCGGCAGGCCAGGCGCCGTCTTCCGCTGAAGAGAGCTCGCCCGCCGCTGGACCTGCTCGTCGGTCAGTCCCACCCCCGCGGTCTGAGCCTGGTCGAAGTGGAGGATCTGCTGCAGGACCTCCACGCCCGCGGGGGCGTCCTCCAGCCTGGCCCACCAGAGGGAGCACTCACTTCAGGTTTGCTGTGAGCATGGGTATGACATTCTGTACTTCGGATGGTGAGGTCGGCTGGGCCATGCACCGTTGAGAAGTGGCCAAGGGCTTGGATGTCAACTCCCGAACAGCTCAAGCAGAACAGTCACCCATTCTCAAGCGACCTTGAAGAAGCCAACATATTATCTGCTCGGCAGCATGGACGGTGGCTGTGAATGTCGCGCCTCTCTACAGTCGACACTTCACTCTTGGATTTGTAGCACACAGTCAGAATGTACTGCAAACACAGCCGGTCCTGAAAATGCGTGTCACAGGTGTGCGTTTTGGGCGGATGCGATTAAGGGGCCATCGTCCGGTAAAGCAACCCAACAGCGGCCAATTCACCTCTGCAGGTGTCTCCTCAGGTCGTCCACTCGCGCCGCCAGCTCCTCATCGTCCGGAGCGTCCTCCTCAGCTCCTCCCAGCACCGCAGCCTGCGGTACCTCCTTCGACTCCCCCTGCGTTGCGCCCCCCTCGTGAGTGCTCCCCACTTCTTTCGAGCCCGGTTGCTCATCATCTCCTCCACGTGGCGCTGCCCACGTGGCAGCTTCCTGGAGGGTGTCTCGGGCTGTAAGGTAGACCGAGTATTCCCGGTCCTGAAGGGAGGCCCCCCCCATGGCCGGCGAGGGGGGTGCCGGCAGCAGGTGCTGCATGAGCTGGGTCGTCGCGCGCAGCCGGTCCTTAGCGCGGCCCACCGCGCTCTCCTCCGTCGTCACAGCGGAGCCCTCGTCCTGCACACACATGACTCTAACGACCTGATGAAAGTTATCTTCAACAATACCAAGGTCGAAGTGTAGAAGGGAAGTCGTCGAGGACGGGTGGGTTTACTATGGGGATAAGGGGTGCATTCGCGTGCGGAGCGAGTCATATTGTGCTTAGGGCTTTGGTGTCAGTTCACGAGGAGATTCCCCTTTGTGAACGCTATTAGATCCTTATTACTGTCTAATTGTACGGTTATAAGATGTGACGTCTGATTGGAATAGCGTCTCCATCATCCCCTTGCTTTGCACCATGGCTTGTGTGTGGCTGTCGAGTCTTCGGAAGGTCGAGTCTTCGAAAGGTTGAGCGGTTCTTAAGCTTGCCCCGTAAAGAACCAGAGTCGCAACAAGCAGGCACAGATGCATGCATTGCGAGGTGGTTCCAGTCAAAGTCAGATTCGTTCTTTCAGTGCTTGATAGGAGCGAATGAGTGCATAGAAACAGTTACTAGGTGCATTGACACTGTCAAGCAGTCAGCAAGGGCTGACTCGCAATGTCGGCTCCTTGGAGTCACAGAAGTCAGCTCACTTCACCAACAAGAAGGAGGAACTTCCGGCTACGGCTTGGCAGGCCACCCTGGACAACTTAGGTGCGTCTTTAGAAACCTACATTACTTCGCTATTCCCATCATGACCTTGTCGAGAAGCGGCATGTTGTCAAAGCCAGGACTTTGGCTGTTTGAAAGAAGAACCAGGAGAGATAAACGCCCCTTACCAACTCAGGCTTTCGACCGACGGCGGACGACCACTGCACCTCCGAGTCCCTGCAGTCGCAGAAGAGGCTCCCCGTTAGAGGGCAGTCCCCTGCTGTTCGGATCCAACAGCACGTGCAGCCACAGACGGGCGGGGCAAGCTACTTCGTTCCACTAGCTGCGAAATTGCAGACCCTCCTTCATCGCGAGAAGACCAACCTCTGGCGAAAACCGGATGAAGAATAAGACAAGGGCATCCAACCCCCGAGTAACACTAGACGTAAAAAGGTCGAACCAGACTCACTTTCCTGAGAACGAGCCGCCTGTTCCATGTACGGCGGCCTAGCACAGAAGGGCACCGCAGGAAACTCTTAAAAGGATCCATATGTTTAAGTGTATACAACCAGGCAGTTAGTCCAGATCCTAGCTAAAAGCCAGCATGAGGTAGTTCAAGTTTTTCGAATCTGTGTATCGGCTTACCGGACACTGGGCAGACCCTTGAACGCCAGCGCTGGCCCCCCGTCCACCTGGCCCGACTGCCACTCTGCCGCTTCTTCTAAGTCTATGTCCGGCAAGCTTCTGTTTGCCAGCTTCTCCTTATTTACAGCTAGAGTCTTGATCTCGCTAACTACTGATCCACCTTCAACCTTAACGGCGTCTTTGGCTAGCTCAAAGCCCTCTGTCACAGGTACCTCGTTCCGAGGGCTGCTGCCTCTATCTAAGCCGCTTTCTATATTCCCTTGAGGCAGCGCAAAAGCTGCCCCCAGCGCACCGGTCCCATGCCGTAGTGCCAGCTCCCTTTTGCTTTCCGCAGATCCTTGTAGAAGCGCTCCACTCTGCCGGGCCACTTCCCCTGTCTCTGCTCTGACCAGCTTCCGAAGCTCAGCTGCTGGCGTGCCATCTGAACCTTCCTGTTTCAGCACACGAGGGGGGCCCCCCGGCGCCTCAACCGAGGGCCCCGCCGCCCCCCTATTCTTCCCCTCGGAATTACGCTTTTCGCGGCCTGAGTTCTTCCCCGGACCCGGAGTCGTCCCTGTGGTCTGTACGCTCCCCTCATTCCCACCTCCGTCAAATTGCCTTGTCCTGGGTGAGGCCTGCGGGGCGGGATCCCCCTGCCCAGCAGCGCTGCCCTTGCCCCCGTCACTGCCCGCGCCGGCAGTCCCCATCCGGTGCGCTTCGATAGCGTCTGCCAGGATGCGCAGCGGGCGGTTGCTCGCCAGAACCTGGGCTTGGAGATGGAGCGGGACGGTCTCGTGCAGCGCTTGCAGCTGCATGACCAGGATGGGGATGGACGCGGGGGGCAGGCTCTCCGGTGCCAGGCTGACCAGAACGGGAACGGACGGAATGGATGACGGAACGCGTGGGAGGCCGGACCCGCCGGAGGAGGGCCATGTGGAGTAGGCGGGAGACATGGGCTCGGGTGCGGGGGGTAGCTCCCAGGTCTTCGGCTTGGGTGGTGACAGGGGCTGGGCGTCAGCGGGGCGGGTCAGCGGAGCGCTCGAGAGGCGCATCCGTTTGGTGGCAGGTCCAGTCTGTGGGAGGTGACGGGTGGGTAAGAGGACGGCGGGACCTGACATCGCATGGAGGCTGCCAAAAAGAACAACACTGTTCCCAGCTCTGAGTTCGTGATGTTACTATTGAACTTCTGGATCTCCCCGTTGCAAACTTCAACTTTTGGCACGCAAAACACTTTCCTTGCACTGGGCACCTGAGATAAGAGAAGCAGGAAGTTCTCGACCTCGTCCTTACCCGTCAACAGGTACGTGGCTATGCAATCATGGAAACCAAATGGTTGTCAGCTTCTTCCCAACGCCTTTTGATGAATGGTTCATGTCGGCGCACTCCCTGCCGTGATCCTGCCAGCAGTAAACTCAAGCCTCTGCAACAGTGTTGACTTAAGGCGTTAAACTACGAACCAGAATTGGAAAGCATCTCTCACCTGCTCCGTCTTTTCGCTGCCAAACCCTCCGGTCCACCCTCTTCCCAGCTGGCCGAATGTTCGACCCAAGGGGTAGGTCAGCGGAGGAGAAGTCGGGAGACCTTCAGAGCGGCCCCCTCGTAGCGGAAACTCTGCAAACGACGAGGTTCGGGGGTTCGCCGAGCTGAGCGGACCACTGGGGAGGGGTTGCGGCAGTAGTGCCTCCCCAAGGGGGCTCAGGGGCCACGGGCTGCTCCGCTCAAGCCCAGGGCTCATGGCTGGGTCAGCGAACCCGGAATTACGGTCCAAGGAGGTGGGGGACGGCTCAGCGGAGCTGGAGCGGAGGGACGAGCTGAGGCTCAACGAGTCTGGGTTGAGCTGGGGGAAGGCGAAGGCCTGCTTGAGGGGCGCCGACTTCTGGAAGTCGAGATGGTAGCGCTCCAGCAAGCCGCTCGGGGGGGTGAGCGCCGAGGCTCCCGTTGAAGCCTGGAGGGACGGAGACCGGGTGGTGGGGCCCGCCCAGGGGATCTGCGGACCCTGGGACACACAGATCGAAGAAAGATCAGGAACGGGCAGGTTTATGTCTTGACAAAAGCTATTTCATTCAGAAGGCACGCTGCGCCGGCTGGCCGATCAGTCTGGCCGTGCTCACGGGTAGAAGTGATACGGTTGCAAGGAGGAGCATGGACCGAGCCGACTTGGAGCGCCGACGTGCGTCTGATGCTTTTCACATGGTTGGACCCTGTCAGGCAGTCTTCCTAGCGAAGCAGACCCTGACACGAAGATCAACTGACCATTGAATCCTTGCGCAGTGCTCCGAAAGAACTGCTCAGAACCAAGAGTTGCTGTAGTCCATGCAAAAGTTTCCTCTCCAGGCCCACTTTCAAAGTCTGACACTGCTTCACCCACTCGTGACCCACTGTTTACCAGGGACCATACGACCGGACCATGCAGCTGTTAAGAAACCAGGGGAAGCAGCGGCTCTCACCCTGCTAGGGTCCCCTGTTCTTACACCACCAGCACCTCCAATACCACTGGCGAAGGCGGCCGCCCGCCCCGGCGTCAGCGTCTCCGCCAGCTGGCGGTCGAATTCGGCCCCGCCCCCGGACGTTGGAGGAGGGTTCGTCTGAGGATTTCTGCTCCCCAGCTGTGCGGCAAAAGCAGCACTCGCCAACTCTGGGGTGAAGCCCGGCCCGTGCGTCTCACGCAAAAGCGCGGAACTCGGCCGTAGGGGTGCTGTAAAAGGGCTGCGCTGGCTGGATATCCGCTGGAACAGCTCTTGCTCCGCGGCGCTGCTCTGAGGAGACTCCACGTGCCCCACACTACGCCCCTTCTGGCCTCCGAAGAGCGTCCCACTAAAACCCGGAAGTGGCTCTGGCAGCGGCATCCCCCTGCTCGAAAATGGTTCGCTCTGCAACGAGCTGTCCGGTGTGGCATAGACCCCCTCTCCCCTGTTTTGCGTCATGAGCGATCCCCCGTCACCCTCGTCCTCGTTCCACAGTGCCTGCATCTCCGCATGGCTGAGGCCCACCTGCTCCAGGGAGTCGTCAGCCGTGTTGCTGGCCTCCTCCCGCGGGACTGACTGCTTCCCCGGTCCAAACCCCTGCGCATCCGTTGCAAGCGCCACAGGCAAAGCGTCATTGTTTGCACGCTGCCTCAAGGAAGCGATCCCTAGGAGGCCCATGGGGCCCTTCTCCAGTTCCCCTGCCAGCCCCGCAGTCACAGCCTCTACCTGCATCCGTTCCATCTCGTCACCTTCCCGTTTCTGGAGTATCTCCGCCTGTTCGCCGCCTCCCCCTTTCACCTTGATCTTTTCTGCTTCTGCACTTGTTGCCCCCGAATATTCAGCATTTCTCATCTGGGGCGTCCCCTCCAATCTTGCTCCAGCCCCATGGTCCCCGAGAAAAGCTCTGCCCACATCCCCAGTGTGAACTAGGAGTGCCTTCATGCCAAGTACGGGTTCCCTCTTGGGTGTTCCAGGGGCCTTTGCGTCAGGAACCCGAAGCGGGCCGAGTCTGCCAACTTCCTCGTGCTCTGGACGGTTTTGCGGCCTGCTGAGAGTGGACACGTCAAAGGGGCTTCGAAGTAAGAGGCTCTCGGGAGTCTTTGGCTTGGGCGGTGCTCGTACTGCATGCGCCTTGCACTTGTTCCCGGCGGACCGGCAGCAGGCACTGCACAGCACGCCCACGCAGCTCTGGTTCGCCTGCAAACAGAGGGCGCAGATGGAAGACACTCTCAGCCAGGGCCACCAAGATATCACCAACATGCAGACGGAGAAAAATTGGCATGCTGCAGGTAGTTGTGGGGCTGAGGAACACGGAATCGGCACATATTGCAACTGATACGAAGGCTTCAAAGTTGTTTAGAAGTGTTTGTGGACCAGGAGCGCCCCAGGTGCCAGTTTCCGAAGCAGAAGGCTTGCTCCATGTTTGAAGTGTGGCAACAACACATGCAGCCGCATTGTACACTTCAGCTCATCTTCGTCACAGGGGGTATCCGGCGACTGTTTCCAGTTACCAGCGGCGTCCTAAGGCAATGGAGCCGCCCTCAATACTTTGGCCCCACATGGCTTATTCACCACACCGCATGCAGAGTATGATCCGTTGCTTACCCTGCCGCCGCAGCCGCTCTTGGAACACGTCACCGGAGGCGGCCTCCCTCTCCTTCCGTTGTCCCCATCCATGTGCGCGCCCGCTGTGAAGGCCCCCACACCAGACCTAAGCCTGCACCTGCTTTGGAAAAGAAATTCATGTTTCAGGCCACACTTTAGCTAACACAATGCTGGTTACCTGGTCATTGCGTAGAGTCCGCAAAGCACAACCGCAGTATGTGCCAATCTGCTCTATGGCAGCAAAGTGGCTGGCACTTTGGGGTGTCCCATCACGTGTGCTTCCATACTCAAAGGACCCTGTTTCACTGTGCCAAACAGCTCAACTTGAATCCTCTGATTGCTTAACCACTTCCTTAACCTCAGCCATGTGAGGCTAACACTTAGATGCAAAGATAGGACATGCGACTTTGCTTTCCCAGCAGCCAGCACCGACTTTCTTAAGAAGGACAACGCAATCGCACTGCCACCTCACCTTGTCTTCCCCGAGCTTCAATGTCATGTTGCTTGCTAAGGAGCGGTTCGTCTGTGGGCCAGCAAGAGACAGCCACATTGCGTGATCCCAATGCCATAATGGAATGGGCCCATGTCCCTTTCTGCCCCCCAATTCCTGACCACCCTTTGCGGTACAAGAAGCCCAAAGTAGTCACTGCCGCCTGGGTTGCCCCCACCTTTTACCAAACGATACAAAAGACAGACTTTAGAAGTCTGCAGTGCACAACTAGTTTCAAGGAAACACCTCTGAAAGGTCTGATTGCACGAGAGCCCCACACTCATGATGGAGCTTGACAATGACCCAATCTAACCAGCGCTTTACGAGAATGTGCCAATGGCGTAAGTCGCACCTGCACGTCAATGTTCTGTCCCCTCTCCCATCGTGACGTCAAGGGCCTTCAGCAGCAAGCCGTCTGAATGTATTACAATGGCAGATCACCAATGGCTGCGTAGCTTTCAGCAATTTTGGAAGAATTTGTTGAGCTACCTGTCTGTCCACTAGAGGGGAAGAGACTCTGAAGCATCTTCTGAGGAATAGTAAGCAGAGGCAGAGCTACCATAAGGCAACGGCAGTTCTCGGTACCGTGAAAGTATCTATGTGTAAGCACCATCTGTCCCTCTGCGAGAGGCTGCATCAGTTCTTCGGTTTCATAAAATTACACTTTATGTGAACAGAGGATGGTGGCATGGAAATGTCCATAAGCGTCAGATATCCTTGCTTTGGAACTTGAGAATTCCCCATCACGAAGGAAGCATGCAAACGCTCGTTTTGCTATTGCTTGTTGCAGACAGAATGAAATATACCTTGCACTTTTCCCCTGATCCTTGTATCCACGGCTGCAGAATAGCTGCGTCCTTCCCGCAGCAGGCAGCCAGCTCATCACAGACTTCCACCAATTGATAATTCACCCCAAGAACGAAGAATGACTGTGGCATGAAGCCGTCTGGGAAGAAGTAGTGGCCTACACCTGCTTGAATGCATCATGTGGATGGCACCCCGTCAGCGTGAGGCGTTGACCTGTGAGCACCGCCGCCGGGAAGCCTGCTGCAGCCAGCAGCCTGCATTGCCATGTCTTAAATGCAACGCCATATCAACGTGGGACGTGTCTACATCCTGCCTACGCCACTTCCTACGTAGCGCGCCCCCATCTTTACCAGATGTGACGTGAGGGGCCGCGGCCGTCTGGATATACCTACGTATAAGGATACCATAAATCTCAAGAGTCAAGAGAGACAATATTGTGAATAAGCCGAGATAACATTAAGGTCCAACTAACTTGAAACCCTAACCCAAAAGGATAGGTACCTGCTCCGCACTCACACCCAGCCTAACCACCCAAACTAACCCCACCCGTCCCAGTGCGGTTACCTTTTAAAACTATCTCGAGACTCGGATGTTTTTCCTGAGTTCAATCATATATGCCGCCGGCGGCCGTATGCGTTATGCATTATGCGTTATGCATTATACGAGAAGGGCGGAGGAGCATTTAATGCGCGGATTGAAGGAACCGATGGTGCATTATGCACTTAGCCGGGCCGTCTGTCGATGTTCGAATATTAAGGTACCTCACTAGGGCTTCAATGCTGTGCAGCATGTGCTGACTCCTCAGAGCAGTCGCACAAGATAAGTGCTGCCAGGGATGATGGTGCTACATGTATGACAAGCTTCTAGACGTTCATGGTTTCCTGCCTGCTTGCATATTTCTCTATCGCTGTAATGACCCAATTATACATTAGTAGTAGTACTCTGCCACTAAAGAGAGCATGCAACGGAATGTCACAATGTCACTTTGGTGCAAGTCTAAGAATAGTTCAAGGCCTCAAGCTTGATGATCTAGACGGTAGAGTGCATCGGATTTCAGAATAGGTATACCCATATTGCCTAGATTGAACATGCACTGACGACCCCAACCCCATGCGCACTCAAAGTAATCCCAATAATGGTCCGCAAGAAACATTAAAACGATATGGATATGCATGTTCAGTCGTATCATTATAGGATAGACATTGAAAGTTCAAAAGTTGCTAATGATTGAGGAATCCTTGCCGATGCATGTAACACAAGACCAAGAATGCAATCTAATTCAGTAACGACTGGTGGTGGCCATGTACAATGCTCTTTGCATGTTGCCTTCCCACCTGAAGACTACTTCAAGAATCTTATGGTACATGAACGGGCCACCAAGAATTCAAGTTGTCCAATTAACCCTTCTGTTTCTATCCTGGACTTATCGTCTTCGACTCTGTTGCACCTGCTCTCTGTTGCACCTGCTCTAAAAATCCAAGTAGTAAAAAGCATTGTCAATCTGTACACATGTCAGCAAGCCAAAAGCAACTAACCACTTCTACGGGACTATTGCATGCTTTGCTTGTAGGCTGTCGTGTCAAGAACCTGCAAAGCATATGTAAAGTATTGTCTGCCAAGACCTGCAAATCGTGAATTCCACTACGGGCCAGCATGACGTTTGAATGTCCAGCTTAGGCAAAGCCTTCCGTTTTCTCTCATTGGACGTATCAACTCTGCACCCGTTTCACTTTGCTCTAAGGACTCAGGTATTGAAAAGCAGTGTCAATCTAGATTCGTAAGCATGCAAGCCAGGAGCAACTAAACCACTATTGCAGGACAACCGCATACTGCAGCTTGTCTGTTCATGCGAATGTGTTTACGTGCGGGTTTTTGACGTGACGGGAAACAAGCAAACATACTTTGCACACAAATACAAGCAATCAGCCTTGGCATAAGCATACAAGCAAACCCGGATTTGAAAAGACTTGGATTGCAATATACCTGCCGTCCACACATTGCGCATATACCTGCAATAAGGGATGGACTAGGGTCATCCCAGCCATTTCAAGTAGGAGCACAAGATCTACGAAATAATACTGACGACCCTTCTCCCCACTGATGGCCAATGAAACCCACAGTCACAAGGATTTGTCAAGCTGGTCGTTATAAAGTGGTCAAGTCTGCGGTTGACTATAAGTTTAGTAAATCCAAAGAGGAACTGATTGGTCCAACATGGTTTCGAACGGTTGCATGGCATAAACAAGAGGACCAGTTCCAGAGAACACACAAAGATTACGCTGACACTGACACAGCAAGAGCAATGATTGGAACGGCCGGAACCCCAAACGCAAAAGACTTGTTAGAACCGCGCCTATCGTTCGTTTGTAGTCAGAAACTCAATTTTGGGCCACTGAAGCAAGGTTTTGCAGCGTCCTGCTAGGAAACTGGAAACCAATATTTCAGATTGCAGATGCAGGAACCAGATGCAAGAACCAGATGCAAGAACCAGGAACCAGAACCAGATGCAGGAAAGATCGCACTTCAAAACAAAAGTCGAAATTTTAGTCCTAGTAAGCGAAGACGAGTGCCACAGGGGTGGTATGGTACAGCAACTCTGAGATTGACAACAGGGAAGAAAAGCCTGACCTTTCCCATATGCATAGGCGTGCCAATGGGTCTCCTCTGGATGCGTCATAATGACAACATGGAAGAACAGCCCATGAAGGAAGTGCCTTACCCTTTTTATAAGCACAAGCATGACAATATTTCCCCTCTTGGTGCAACGTACTTTTGCACACGGTGCATTTTGCTGATGTCCCGTAAGGTTGAAATCTGCAGGACCAAGAGCAACGAGACTCAGAGATGCGCCCCCCTTCTCACTACTCAGGATGCAAAAAGACGACCTCGAGCACCTTTTCCTGACCTCTGAAGATCTTCAAGTAGGTGCGGAGGCAAACCGTTTTTGCAAGTTGCCAGCCTGCTATCTTCTGACTTCATCTACAATCATCCTGCTAAGAGGAGCGTGCGAAGCTCGCTACATGTAAATCAAAGGTGATGAAAATCCTTCCAAGAGAAGAAACTTACCTATTCTTCCTTGACAGAAGCTTATTTTCTCCAATTTTTCGGCCCCCTCCCTCAGTAGTGTTGTTCGCACCTTCCTTCCACTTGTCTGCAAGCAGCAAGAACGAGTGACCGCGATCATATTTGCAATTTACTGTAGCCATGATTGACAACAACCAACCACAACTTCAAATGTCAGATGCAGGCGTGTACAGACAAACGCAGTGCACAGAGCAAAGCAAGAGGATCAGATTATCCACCTCCAACATGTCATGCCTTGACGGAAGCTACTGAAGTAGAGTTGTGACGACCCACCTGGCACCACCACCTTTGATAGTTTCTTCTCGCCTGCATGAGAAGAAGTTCGTCAACCTACAGTACCGTTGGCTACAGCCTCCTTACCATCGCCAGTAACATCCTAGCAGGCCAAACACCTCAGAACGCAAAGGCATGTGGCCTACTCGGACCCAACTCATTACGTAGTCTAAGAACTTTCGGAGTGCTTTGGCAAGCTGGAACCCTAACTCTACCACTGAAGGGGCTCGGAAAAAATACATATGGAGGGCTCTTGTACAGAGCTTGCAACCCCATCGCAAAAACTGCGTAGAGGAGAAATTCCTGCTTTGCCGATGTGGGAGATGATCAAAGCCAACTGCGCTTTGCATCTGCACACTCTCTTAAGTGCCATAAAATTAACACCCAGAATCAAGGAGGTAAACCAAAACCCAACATAGAACCTCTTGAAATGTTGGAGTATACGACTCACACTTTGCACAGACCATGTCTGGCAAACTCGTTCCTGCTGCTTAACGATTGCTGCTGTCTGCTGTGCAAGGAGGGCACTTCTTCACCTCCAACGTTGTCCACTTTGTAGACGACTTCGCATGCAGCGCGCCTAAGACTAGTCCTAGCTAGCTTGGGCGCCGCCGCTAGCGCTATGTTGGGCAGTGCGCTTCGCGTGCTGTACCATGTTCATGAGAAAAGCACTTTGTTGGACGGCTCAAAGAGCTCGAGATTGGCGTTCGCTTTCGCCCGCTACGGTCAAGATGGTGTTGAAAGTTCCAAGTAACTAGGGAACGTGAAAAAATCGTGAAACCTGGGTCATGCAGCGGTCCGCGTGCAAGAATTCCGATAGAGGTCGCATCGATACCGCGATTGGCCGTAGCCGGTGCTGACCTTCAACCTGTCATGGTAGAAAATGATGGCGACTTCTGCACTCTGCACTTGACTATCTAGCACCGGTGAAGCGAAACGGTGGACACCGAGTCGCAAAGCCGGGCGCTGACACAATGAAGCTCGGATGTACCCAAAAGACGATAGTAGGTATGTACCGTTACAGCGCGGATCCCAGGTTTTTCCAGAAGCTGTTCCACCACGGTACCAACTACTTTTGGTACATCAAACGAATGTACACTTCAAGCCAATCATTAGCTCTCCAAAGTCGGACCATTTCCAATCCATAATTTGTCCTCGACCGGTGCAAAAGTACCGCTGTGAACAGACCCCCTAATTGGAAAAATGGTGGGTACTTTCAAATATGCCTTTATATTCACGCGCAGCATTTCGCGACTTACGGTTTAAGTTTCCCCCCTTGTACACCCGTAAATCCATCTGGTGTATGTGTACCCAAACTTCCAACTCTAAACCGCAGAGAAAATCGTCAAGAACAAACGAATCAACGATCTCAAGTAGCTAGAGGCTGACGTCATCATGATCCGACGACCCAAATCCAAAACTGAGGATTAATCTCAGATTTTACAGCCCGAAGGGTGTCTCTGTATATTTTTTCTAAAGACTTGAAACCGCGAAGTCTGATAAGTAGGTAGATCCGATGGTTCAGCAGAACAGCCCAATGCCATTGCAATGGCGACATGAGCGCTTATCCAGATCAAGCTTAGGCGAGGAAATTTGAGCAGCTAGGTACATTAGATTTGAGCGTCCTCGTCTAATGGCGCCCCCCTTGGGTGCCTCTTCCTTTTGGCGTGCTCTGATCCCCAGCCAGAAGCTGATGGCGGGGATCGTGATCGGGTGGGTCACGATGTTCCTGGTGGGCGCCCACCTCAGCGATGGGCTGACGTCAGGACGCGAGCAGCTGGGCCGCACGAGGACGTTTGAGGAGGCCACCACCAGGGGCCTAGGGCAGCTGCAGAAAGAAGGGGGAGGGGGCCAGCAGGGCCGCAAACTGAGGAGCGGGGAGACGGGCGGAGCGGGGGCGCAGGTGGAGGACCCGTGGGCCCCGGAACGGCGCGAGACGGAACGGCTGCTGTGGAATGCCACCATCCTGGTGGGCATGGCGGCCTTCAGGGACCCCGAGTGCCAGGTATGCGCCTGCCCCGGCCCCACCCCCAGTAAGGAGCTTGAGCAAAAACAGGGGGTGAAGTTGCACATGAGCTCCACTACTCTTCAAAACGCAAGCTCGTATGGGGCATTGTGCCCCAATTGAACGTGATCAATCTTAGAAAAACCCATCGCATCTGGATTGCCCGAGCCTGGCTGAGGGCTTGGCTGTGGTTTGCAGGACTCTGTGTGGTTGGCCCTGGCCAATGCTGCCAACATCGACCGGGTCTCTATCGCAGTCTACCAGCAGAATGCGCCAGACGACCCCGACTGCTTGCAGTGGGCCAAGCTCATGTGTCCCCCCCAGGTAGGTCGCCAGCGGCTGAGTGCACTCCCTCTGGCCAGCTGGCTGCCTTGCCGCTGGTGAACGCGCCTGACGGAGCAGGGGGACGCCGGGGAGGGTGCGTCAAAAAAGTACAGGACAACTGTGAGCTTTATGCAGCTTGTGGCCCATTTCGTGAGCCCTCGAAGAAACTCAGAGATTTATAATGGCCTCACAAGATCCACTGTGTGCATTGCCCGCTCGCCAACTTCTCACTTGACCTCGTCAACTCTGGCATTGAGGGGGTCGTGATGTGACCATCAAATGTCAAGCTGACTCTCAAGTCGGACAACAGGATGGTGCTCTGGCGCTGCTGCTTTTCTTGCATCTAGTTACTGCTGTCTTCCCGCCCCGCAGGATGCTGTTGCCATTGGCAAAACCCCCGAGGAGGAGCGCCGGCGGCGGCCCAGCTTTGCGGCGGGCCCTGCAGACCTGACGCGCGTGTGCGCTGCGCTGCCGCGGGTGCGCGTGCAGCGAGTGGACGCGTTCAAGGACGGCCAGGGGCCCACCGTGGGGCGCTACCACATGCAGCAGATGCTCCAGGACGAGGACTTCTTCTTCCAGGTGACACCCCGTTTTAACCCCCTCCCCGGATAAGACTATCTGGGGCCCCTCCTCAGATGCTTTCTTTGAACCGACTCTGACGAAGGGTACAGATCTCCCTACCCTGCGGTGCAAAACCCGCTTTCCAAGCCCCCGTCCATCCCGCTCGTGGCGAGTCGTCAAGATTGACTGGTGTTCAGACTACCAAGACACGCGTTGCCTTATGCGAACAGCCATGAAACCCCCTTCCGGCTCGGAGGAATCGGCATCCGGTCGAGTCTGATGCTGCCGCGGCGTGGGTGTTCTGCAGGTGGACAGTCACAGCCACTTCATCTACGGCTGGGACGTGGAGATCATGCGCAACTGGCGCCTCACAGGCAACCCGAACGCTGTCATCACTACTTACCCCGTGCCGCACGACCGCATCCCTGGCTGGCTCAAGCACCCCCCGGTAAGACTATCGATGAGGGGACCGATGCCACGGGCTGAATCAGCCGATGAGTGTGAATCGAGGTGACAAATACGGTACGCTGGTCATATGCAGTTAAAGTATTGATTGTATGTAAGTGTTGTAGTCAAAGGCAATGAAAGTATTGCTTGCTTATTAGTCAAATCCTAATAGAGGTCCGAAAAGTTGTGGCCGTTTTTTGTTCCGGGCTGGTCGTCTGTGCATGTCTTTTGGTTTGACGTCTTGCGTCGGTGCAGATCCCGCGGCCCCCGTCCAGCCTGCCGTACCCCCGGGTGGTGGTGGACTCTGTGACCGGGTTTGAGTACCTGCGGGTGAAGCGCGAGCTGCCCAGCGTGCCCGGCTTCGAGCTGGAGTACCTGCCCAGCATGGTGCCCATCATCTGCCACGTGTCCTTCACCAACATGGCAGGGAACATGCCGCGGTGAGCTGCCACCCCAGCCCGGGACTATCCCCCCCTATGTCGTCTCGACCTGGAGACCTCCCACTGGGCGTTTGTTCCAGTGCTTCTTAACATCTGTTGACTGAGCACTTATATTTGCGGTCTTACTAGTGTTCAAGCAATGTTGGGGTCTCCATCCGAGTTGGCAGCAAGCTCGACTTCAGTGGCCGTGCAAGGCTTGAACTCGGGGACAGCCTTCTTGGCGCCTAAGATACACATAAATCAACCGATCGAGTAGCCAACATGGGGGGATATGATCGTGCACCCGCCAACCAGCCTTATTTCTTGTTCTGCGCGATTCCAGTCCGCCCTGCATGTGACGCCAGATTTCCTGTTTAGGGAAGCTAGTTGGCGGTCAGGGGCATGAGAACCGGGCCAGACCTATATGGCACATACGTTACAAGGAGTTCGAGACATGTCGACAGTCCGATGTTTACGCCTCTGGGCCCGGCGGTGCAGGATGGAGGCTGCGGGGTACTTGCGCATCCAGCAGGGGCAGCCCATCCGCACGCCCTTCTGGGCGGCGGGCCTGGCCTTCTCCACCGCGGCCGCGGTGCGCGAGGTGCCGTACGACCGCTACACGCCGTACCTCTTCGACGGGGAGGAGATCTCGACGGCGGCGCGGCTGTGGACGCACGGCTACGACTTCTACGCGCCCATCACGGACACCGTCTTCCACGTCTACGAGTCCGCGTACAAGCGCAACAAGTACTGGGAGATTGACTGGCAGGAGCGCTCCGCCATCCAGATGCGCAGGTCAGCCGCCGGGGCGCGTTTGAGAGAATTGCTAGGATAGGGCTGTCGTCTTTATGCGAGAGGCCCTGTCAAGGAGGAGCGGCTGGATCACCGCCCCCCGGGGCAGTGGCTTCGAACGGTTTTCTGCTGGAGTGAGCCCGACTCGCAGCGCCTCCATGCTCAGGACGGTCAAAGCCCGGTCCCGATTTCCTTCGGAATAACGACTGTCGAGTTGTGGCAGTCCAAGCGCGTGCTTCCGACGCCCTTCACGATGAGCAGTTGCGGACTGCAACATTCGGCCAGTCTGCAATTTTCGTGTTCATCGACTACAATGATCGTCCCACGCTTCCTTGCGCTCCTCCTGTTCCCTCCGCTGATGCTCGTGGTGGTGCTCCTTGTGGCAGCTCGCGGCGCGTGGCCCACATTCTGGGCTTCAACGTCAGCAACGACTTTGACGACACCGAGCTGGACAGATACAGCCTGGGGACCAACCGCTCCATCCAGGTAAACCGATGCGCCTCCGCCTGCCACGTGGCAGCTGTCCTGTGGGTAGCTCCAGTGCCTTCCGGATCCTGGCAGATCCAACAGGTTAATGCTTGCTTGACAAGTGTCTACTCTCATCATATGCGTGACCTCAAGCGTCCAATCGCCACCTCGTGAGCCGTGCCTTTCGTTGATGTTCGCGGCCATCTCGGCGTCCAGAGTGAGCCGACAGCTGCTCCTGCTCCAAACGCTTTGAAGCCGTCGTGGCTGTCCCTCACCCAGCGGTCCGCTCGTGCTTGTGCGCGTGCAGGATTACTGGCGGTTCGCGAGCATCAACATGACGGCGCTCACAAGCGAGAACCTGTGCCTGGAGCTGGAGAGAGGCCTCTTCCCGGAGGAGCAGCAGCGGCCGCGCGGCTACCAGGACTACCAGAGCATCCCGTCGCACCCACGGCCGCCGCCAGCGGAGGAGCCCGGGGTGACGCGCCGCAGGCTGCAGCAAGAGGAGGGGCAACGGAGAAGCGGCAGCAGACACGAGCACGAGGGAGGCGGGAGTGGAGCGGAGATAAAAGGCGAAGCGAACCTGTTTGGGAAGTCGCCTCCGGTGTTGAGGCGACACGTGCTCTCAGCAGAGGCAGCTTAAATAGGGTTCTGTGTTGAGAAGTCCGTAGTATAGCGGCATAGAAAGGTTCAACCAACTCGATGTGTTGATTGCACATTACCCGCTGAAGACGGAGGATTGGTATTCTATGAAGTCCTTCCCGCGACCGCCGCATATGAAAATATGAAGTGTCCTCGAACTCGTATTTTGGGAAGGAAGCTTGTACGGGCAATTGCACCATTGCCAACAGGCAATTGCAAACTCTCAAAACCTGTGCTCAGTCGTACAACAGCTCGCAATTCTGACCGTGCAGCCCTGTTGAAATCAGGGCCAGGCATCAAAGTGGGCGGATCTGGAAGGAAACGCATGAAATCTGATTCAAAACCTCATGGCACGGTAGCATTGATGGTGCAAGCAAAGCAACAGAGGTTCTTCGTCGTGACATGTTGCGCAGGGCCTGCAAGGTTGTTCTGGTTGATGTCCGTTCCTGTTATTGCGTGAGATTTGTTGCTTTCGGGGTAAACCACCCGAAACGCACCTGTAGACCTGAACAACGGGGCGCTTGGCGGTTGTCACATGATTAGAGTGATTTGCCTGAAAGCGCCTAGTTTCCAGCGAGGGTCCTGGCGGTTCCCTTGTGCCTCTTATCAATATCTGGTTGTTGCTTAACGAATGTGAGTTTCGGGGTAACCCGAAACGCACCTGTCTGGACAACGGGGCGCTTGGCGGCCTCTTATGTAGTTGGAGTGATTTCCCCGGAAGCGCCTAGTTTTCAGCGAGGATTTGGGCGCTTATCATGTGCCTCTGGCTCGATCGATTTGGTTGAGCTACTGTGTAAGTCATCGTGGCTTTGGAACACTTTGAAACGTAGTTTTCTGACGCCCCTCCCCAAGATTCCGCTCTTCTTCACAACGGCTGGATGTACTCGCGCAGTGTGTTTTCTGTGTTGCAGGATGCACCTCTTTCGGTCCTGCCGCAAGCTTCACAACATGATGTTTCAGCTCTGCTTTGAGGGCCCATGTTGGGAGCTGAGCTAGCAGGGAGACGTGTTGCTGTCTGGTCCCTTTCCAACGAAGCGACTTTTGCAGTGAACCCTTCTTTTAGCTTTTAAGGATACAGTCCCTTGCTTTGCTCTTCGGTTCGCTGTATGGCCCGGCAAAGTGAGCAACTCTTGCGTTACAGTCATGTAGATGGGCTGTCAATCTCTCGGCCCCCCCGGTTGCTTACTGGCCGAAGGTGCGTCTAGGCCTGCGTCTTGTCCGCTTCTTGACCTAGTCTCTCAATGTCTGACTACTTCGTGATTGGTTGTGCCAGTACCCTTACTGTGAAATCAAGTTGGTCAACGCGTATCTCTAACAGCACTAGCTAGTCTTGGTCAATGCATAGGCTTTCTTGACTCGGCGAACGGGTAAACTTATGCTGACTTGGCGTGTAACGCACACGCAGGTATCGTGATGGACGTGTTCGTCGCTTCACGCACCTCGACAACCAGGTACGAGGAAAGATAGGTGGCGCTTTAGGCGATGCTTTTGTCTGAAACAATCTTCGAAGCTTCTGGGGAGCTGGTGCGAGCGAGCCAACTCTCTGTTCTCTCTAATGATCCTCCTCTAGACGGTGTGTCTGTAAGTAATTCACCAGAATAGAACGTGGTTCTCTTGCAGCAATTGTCTTTCCCCAATTGTCTTCCTTGTCCTTTTTCTCCCAGCAAAAGTACGTTCCACTGGGTTTGTCCTCGACATTGTAAAGGGGTTTGAAGCTCGTGACGGACCGTTAGTGCTATTGGCAGTTCTTGATGTCGTCGTCGAAACTCTGGTGTTAGTGACTTCGCGTGATCCGAATGTGGTTCGCCTTTTACTGGCAACTGGCGAAGGTCGGTCTTTGAGGACGTGCTTCAGCGTGCTTCCGTCGTTTCTCAGATTTCGAAACTCTGGTTTGAATAGGGTAACTCGTTGCCCGCTGGATCGGCTGGCGGATCTTTCCTATCAATCTCTGGTCCTCGAAAGTATGCAAGCCGTGGGATCCACGAGGGGATCCAAACTGCGCTTGTTCGATTCATGGGACTTGCGAATTCATGCCCGGTAAAGACTATGGCCGACTTGTCCTCCTTCGTACTTTGCAATTGTCCTTTACGCTTTCCAGTACTGGTCGGAACCTCTTGGACTGTGCTTTTGCTTGGCGATGATGGGAACATCGAGGACCTCACGTCTGCCTTCCTCCTCTGGTTTTTTTCGATGATGGAACGAGGGAGAGGATGGAGCTGTCAGCGCGACGAAGGAAGAGGAGCAGAGCGGCGATGAAGAAGAAGGGGCGAGCGAGGAGGAGAGCGGAGGAGACGAGACACCGGAGACTGGGAGCTACCGCTGCAGCTTACGATGCCAGAGAGCATGAAGGGGCATTGTAAAGAGCAGAGGTACGTCTCGTTTCCGATGCTAGTTTCCAGTGCTTTCTGTCGAAATGCGGCAATCTGCTCAATGCAATATGTCCTGCTCGAAGGCGACTCGGCTCGACGTACTTCGGCTTCTTTCAAGCACGGCCGAGATCAAATTCGTGTCCGACTCGGTGCTCGATCCCACATATTCTTGATTAAAGTTCTGGAGATCAACTAGGATAATGTTGTCTTCTCGAGCTCTTTCATATGGATTATCTCGCAGGTCTTGGTAGAAATTGTTTTGGCAGGCTTTGTTCTGACAGGTGCATCTGGGCCGAGTACTTTTTCGCTATGTGCATCCCTCAGCTCTCGTTTGCTTGCAATCAATGGTTCGCTCACACTCTTTGCTCGCTTGCCTAGGTTCGAACATGCACAGCGACAGCTGATGGAGGCATGGCCGAGAACACCGGCCCAGACGTGCGGCTCGAGAGGGAGGCGCTACGTACGAGCGAGCGCGCGGCACGTCATGCGCTGGTGGACCTCCTCATTGCGGTAAGGGGGCGAGCAGCGCTGTTTACGTGGCTTGTCTTCCGCTTTCCCAACGTCGGAGAGTTCTGAAAGTCTTCTTTGAAGCGGCCCGTTTAGGAGAACCGATTCCCGTAGACGAAGGCTTTCAACTTTCCTGAGGAGTCACCCCGCTGTTTACCATTCTCGACCCCTCCGAGTCCGTTGATCTACTTCGACCCTTATGTCCTATCCACCTTCGACCAGGGTTTGTAAAAGACCGTGTGTTAGTTACACCCAAGAAAGGTACTGTCGCTCTTTTGGAGCTACCATATGGTCGCGTTGGTTTGATGCAGCGTCGTGAACGGAGTAGTCCGCACGTTTACGGTTCAGTTCGTATACGTTTGGAGCAGATTCCGTATCAGTGTGGAGCAGAGAATCTAATGACGTGGCAATGACCATAGGGTGGACTGTACAGAGGGGCAGTCTGGGGCAGTCTGGGGCAGGCATGTAATCCAGAGGTCCTTCCGTGAGCCCGCTAGGAGAGCACTCCCGCCCTTGTACGCTTGGTCGCTCGACCCTTTGTATCCAAGTCAGATATGTGTTGGCCCAAGTCGAGCTCAAGTCGAACCGGGTCGCCGCAGCAAGAACGGAACTTGAGAGTGAAGGTAGAAGATCCGGTTTCAAGTCGTGAGCCGTCGTTGCCCTAACCTAGGAGTCCGTGGATTTCTTTGCGAGAACGAATGGCCGCTGACCACAATCTCGTCTGTGCAGCACATGGCGGGAAGCCTGGTTCGAGTCGGAGAGCGTACCTTCCAGTTTTGCCGGCGCCGCAACGAAGCCGGCCGTGTGGAGTGCTGGTTGGAGGAAGTGGCGTACATGCATCACCACGGTAGGTATTCTTTCTGGCTGTTGCTTTCTTTGGCCTTGCGTTTCTCTTCGTCTCTTCCCTCTGCCTTCGTCTGTCGTCGACTCTTATTCAGCCTTGACTTGCGCGTTACCTTTCCATTGATATTGCATCCGCTTTTTGAAGCAAGGATCCTTGTTGACGAAAGTGCAGTCCTTTCGAACGCTAGGGGAGTATTTTGCAGAGGTTGGGATGAGAGAAGCGTGTACCTCTTACAGTCAGGCCGCCAACTCGATCATGAGCACCAAGTACTGCGCTAGGTCTTCTAAGGAAGCTCATGACACCTGTACTCGACCGTTCTGACAGATTTGACAGACCGTTTTGACACAATGGCAACGAAAAAGCGGCTTTAGTTGGACTTGCTCAAATCTGGTCAGAATAGACGGTAATAACATGAAAAAGTCCCGGCTCTTCGTAATTCCACGCCAAGCCCACGCACTTCTTTTCTTTGACTTTTGCAGCCTATTAGAGGAGATTTGGAGTCTAAACCTAGCCGGAATCTAGTAGCCTAGGCTAGCTAGGCTAGTCTAACCCCCCGTAGAAGTCAATCGATGGGCGAGGAGAAGAAAGTCACGATGAGACGTTTTGAGAGTAATTTGAGATACGCCTAAGTGGGTTCCACAGAGGGTATATAAGTTGTGGTGGGGTTCTTTGTAGATGCGAGCTCCTGAGAAATGTAGGTACTCGGGACCTATTTCGACGACTTTCTATGCACGGCGGGGACGGCGGCAAGGACCGGACCGTCCCGTGTATGTCATGTGTGTCACATGTAACAATTGCGCCATATCTAGTTACCGCGTTGACCAACCGGCCGCAAACCGTGCCTCAACCAATCATGGCTGGCAGCCAACCATACCTAATCTACCTGGGATCATCGATTGGATACTGAACTTCGCCTACGGATCGCCGGGGAGCAAGGTTGCCGGGAGCGCGGAACGAAGTACCGAGATCAGCTACCGGGTAGCCGGGTAGCTTTTGGACGGGGTATAGTGGTCGGCTAGCTTTCAATAGAGTCTACCGGGAATTCTACCGGGTCAAACTTGTACCAACTGGTAAATTCCGGTAGGTAACTAATGTCGTCATACTGGCGACATCTGTGTTCACTTAAGCTTGTGTTCACAAGTATCCGCCCGGGGCGAAACAAACTAAAAACTCAAAACTAAAAGGATTAGACGCTCCACACCCGTACCCACCCTAACCCCCAAACCAACCCCACCCGTCCCCGGGACCTTCGAACACGGCCCTATTATTGGCAATCAAGTTTCAAGACTACCGGTAGCTAGGGTGGACGGTCCCCTTGCCCATGCATGGGGAGTTCTGGGCCCCTGAGCTTCACTTTCTGCTTGCATGGAGTTGGACAATGGAGTTGGAGCCTGGAGGGTTTTGCTTCGTAAATGTTAGAACTGAGAACCTCTCCATCATTACAGCGTTCCTGCAGAATGCCATCGGTGGGATGACAGGACCTTGAAATTTGGACGAGGGCGCCAAGCTCAGGGACCGCTAGGCTGTCCACTGCTTGGAACGCAAGGAGATGCATTGGCCTCACTGATCTGCGTTCACACGTAAGTGCCCCATGTGATATTTTCTCTACAGCTCGCGGTCTGTTCAACCTCATTCCTGGGCCATGGTGTTTGATTGAACGGCCTTGGTTGATGCCTAGGCGTGTTGCAGCACCACTTAAGATGATTGTATCAGAAGCATTTGACCATTGAAGAGGAAAATGGTAAACTCCTGCTGACAAGCTCATGTAAGGTCATTGTGGTCTTACTGTGCATGACGGTGTAATGCCGACTTGGATGGAGGCTGGGACACACAAAACTACTTGGAAGGACCATGTTGCTTGAGTTGGAGGCTTATTCTATTATTATTGCCCTTTTTAGGTGTCACCATGGCCCCCATATTGGCTAGAACCCTGCGGGGTTTTATCCCAATATTGGGGATCCTGTGTGGATGGGGGCTTCTGGGCAGAGTATGGTCCGCAACCATAGAGGAGATCGACTCTCTTCTTCAGGGCCCACTCTGGAACCAAACGAGCATTACGATCAGAGGCGGCAGGTTATCTGGTCAAATCCCCCCAGAGCTCGGCAACTTGATAAATCTCACCATGATCGACCTCTCCTACAACAACCTCTCCGGCCCCATTCCGCCAGAGTTCGGCAACCTGATCAGCCTTGCTTCTCTCAACCTTTCCTACAACGAACTTTCCGGTACCATCCCCCCAGAGCTTGGCAAGTCTTACACCCTTTCTCACCTTGACTTTTCCGATAACAACCTCTATGGTACCATTCCATCAGAGCTAGGCAGCCTGAAAAACTTAACCTACCTCAATCTTGGAGACAACACTCTTTCGGGTTCCATACCTGCTGTCTTGAGCAGACTCACCAGTCTGACTACTCTCCGTCTGTACAACAACGCCCTCTCTGGCCCCATCCCCCCTGAGCTCGGCAACCTGACCAACCTCACCAGACTTTCTCTCCCTGATAATAGACTCTCAGGCTCCATACCCCCCGCGCTGAGTAAGCTGGTCAATCTCAACCACCTCTACCTCTACAACAACCGCCTCTCCGGGCTCATCCCCCCCGCGCTCAGTAGCCTGTCCAATCTCAGCGGCCTTGATCTTTCCCTCAACCGCCTCTCCGGCCCCATCCCCCCCGAGCTCGGCAGCATGACCGGACTCACCGGCCTCGCCCTCTCCTCTAACAACCTCTCCGGCCCCATCCCCCCCGAACTCGGTACCCTGCCTAACCTCACCGTCCTCTACCTCTACAACAACCGCCTCTCCGGCCCCATCCCCTCTGAGCTCGGCAACCTGACCGAACTCACCGACCTCTCCCTCTCCCGCAACGACCTCTCCGGCCCAATCCCCTCCAAGCTCGGTAGCCTGCTCAATCTCACCGACCTCTCCCTCTCCTTCAAC